GGGCTTGATTGTTTACAATTCATCATTTGCAGTTGATTGTTGTTGTTGCCGTATATTGATTTTGATCACTTGACTTTGTGCCTCCAAAAGCCTTAGTTGTGCTAGGAGGAGTTTAGTTGAGTGATTGGGTGAGTTGTTTTTGACTTTGTGCCTCCAAAAGCCTTAGTTGTGCTAGGAGGGGCTTAGTTGTCTACAACTCACCTTTTGCAGTTAATTGTTGTTTAATATTTATATCATTAAAAAAAGAGAAAGCCTTGGCTTCGAAAAAAAAGAGAACTTAAAGTTCCAAAAAAAGCTTTCTCACAAAAATTTTTTTTGAAAAAAAGCCAAAAACGTTTTTTGGGACCGATGGTGCCCGCCTCCTCGTTGGCGGTCCTGGATAGCCCTGTGAACTTTCAGGGTGAACTGAGAGGCACTAAAATCTTTGATTTGAAAAAAAAAAACGAATCAAAAAAACTTCGACCTGAAATAAAAACCAAAAAATAGAAGAGCAACTGATGGCCAAAAACACCTTAGAAAAAGGTTGGTTTTGCCTTATCTCTATAATTGTTGAAAAGGAGCTAAAAATAAAAACATTTTAGTCATCTACTTATCTTTTGTGGTTTTACCCCTAATTTTGGTGTTTTTCGGCACTTTTTTGCTATTTTTAACTCTTACCCCTAACTTTCGTTATTTTTACCCAAATTTATACCAATTTCGTTGTTTTTGGTCTTACTCCCAACTTTCTAATGTGTGGTGCCTTTACCAACAATTCTCTGCCTAATTTAGGCCTTACCCCTAACTTTTGTTGACTTACCACTAATTTTGGTGTTTATGACACTTTTTTGCTTTATATGACTCTTACCCCTAATTTTCGTTATTTTTACCCAAATTTAGACCCATTTCGGGTTTTTTCATCTTACCCCCAACTTTCTAGTGCCTGGTGCCTTTCCCAACATTACTCTACCTATTTTTGTCCATACCACCAACTTTTAATGACTTACCTCTAATTTTGGTGTCTATGGCACTTTTTTGATATTTTTGACTATTACCCCAAATTTTAGTTGTTTCAACCGAATTTTGTACCAATTTGTTTGTTTTTAGTTTTACCCCTATCATTCTAGTGTCTGGTGGATTTCCCAACAAAACTACCTATTTTATGCCATAGCACCAACTTTTGTTGACTTAATTTTGGTGTTTATGGCACTTTTTTGATATTTTTGACTATTACCCCAAATTTTAGTTGTTTCAACCAAATTTTGTACCAATTTGTTTGTTTTTCGTTTTACCCCTATCATTCTAGTGTCTGGTGGATTTCCCAACAAAACTACCTATTTTATGCCATAGCACCAACTTTTGTTGACTTAATTTTGGTGTTTATGGCACTTTTTTGATATTTTTGACTATTACCCCAAATTTTAGTTGTTTCAACCGAATTTTGTACCAATTTGTTTGTTTTTAGTTTTACCCCTATCATTCTAGTGTCTGGTGGATTTCCCAACAAAACTACCTATTTTATGCCATAGCACCAACTTTTGTTGACTTAATTTTGGTGTTTATGGCACTTTTTTGATATTTTTGACTATTACCCCAAATTTTAGTTGTTTCAACCAAATTTTGTACCAATTTGTTTGTTTTTCGTTTTACCCCTATCATTCTAGTGTCTGGTGGTTTTCCCAACAAAACTCTACCTATTTTATGCCATAGCACCAACTTTTGTTGACTTAACCCTAATTTTGATGTTTATGGCACTTTTTTGTTGTTTTTAACAATTACCAATAATTTTCGTTGTTTCAACCCAAACTTGTACCAATTTGTTTGTTTTTTGTTTTACCCTTATCTTTCTTTTGTCTGGTGGCTTTCCCAAAAAAACTTTACTCAACTTAGGCCATACCACCAACCTTTGTTGACTTACCCCAAATTTTTGTTTATGGCACATTTTTGTTATTCTTAACTATTACCCCTAACTTTCGCTTTTAAGCCAGTTTTAAACCAATTTGGTTGTTTTTCGTTTTACTGCTAACTTTCTAGTGTCTGATGGCTTTTCCAACATTAATCCACCTAAGTTAGGCTATATCCCCAACTTTTGATGAGTTACCCATAATTTTTGAGTTTATGGAACTTTTTTGCTTGCCCCTAACTTTTTTTAGACTAGGGAACTATGGCAATTTTTGATGGCAAAAATTTGCTACATGGCACTTTTTTGTGGCATTTTTTGCTAGAGCGTTTTTCTGCTCTTTGGCACTTTTTTGCACCCTCTTAAGCAAAAATTGTCAAAGAGCAGGACTCTAATACTTGGTGTTCTACAATTCTGAAAGAGTTATGCTGATAGTCAGACTGTATCGGCTATTTCCCCTTTAGTTTGCGCTCTCTTCGGCTCTCCTCTGACCTGACTAGCTAGCTCAGCAAATCGTGGGCTCAGTAGGTAAAAACTTCTTCAATCACAATAAAAAATTATAGTGTCCTTAATGAGCTACCTACTTTTAACTACTTCCGTACAGAGCCCGCTTCTCGTTTCGTTCAATCGCTTCGCCAACTCGCTCGTCGTTTTCCATTTGAATCGATTCCAGAATCGCGAACGAGTACCAACTCTACCGCGCAACTCGTTCATGCAACAAATTGAACCCGGTACAAAACTCGGGTTAAAATCAGCTAAACTAATTAACTAACAACTGTGAGACAGAACTAGCCTCGCTTCAAGCAATAGCGTCCTCCACGGACCAACTATTCGTCTGATCTTGCTCAATCGTTCTCTTTCTAACTTGGAAACAACTTAACTCTGTCTCAGTATCAAATGTTCTGCCTAAGGGTAGGTTACTTTTAGTCTCGATAATGATTGTCTATTTGAGTTTTAGATAGTCAGAGTTATGTCGTCCCTACAAGTCCTGACATTTACGTTGGTACCCCTTTCGCAAGGTCTTCATTGAATTCTTCCTCTGACAACACTAGTCTTGTGTTCCAAGTTCCTTATAGCTATCTCTAACTAAGTTATGCAAATACCAAGTACAACTTCACCTCCAAACCGAGTTATGTTTAATCAACATGTCTACCTAGGTTTTAATTTAGTTATCCCATTAACGTTCCGACCTCCCGAGGGTAGGGGAAGACCCTTTCTATGGGTCGCTGCTTCATTCCGAGCGTCTAAAATTTCGCTCTATACTCTTTTCGAATTACGACCTTCAAGCTATAAGGGGAACGTAATTTGTTTATTAAGGGTCAAATTGTGCTAAGAAGCCACCTCCGGGGAGCTGCGTAAACATCCCGTCCCTACATGTTATTTAGGAGCCTCAATTTGCATGCTATGCTCCTATTATCGCCAATTTTCTCTAAGACTACTTCAGTCTAATTGAATTTCTATTAATAGCTCATTCGCCAAGTTATGTTGAACCCAATGTTTGCCAAAACCACTTTAATTAGTTCCACTACTTCGATAACTTAATCTAGAAACTGATACCTCTTTCAGCTTCTTCTTCATTTCCCAAAAGGTAAGTTTCCTCCCAATTATGAGTAAGGTGACCGATTCTCGTTCCCAAGGGCTAGGGGTTGGGGAATACGCCACTTTCCGGTGTTAATCCAAGGGTTTTCTACGCTATTTACGACCTAAACGCCCAACGGTCATTCCGGGGTCAATCTTCCATATCCAGTTTCAAAATCCCATAGGGATTCTACCTACCAGGTTTCATCTTTATCCCATAAATACTTCAAGTTATCCCACTTCAAATGTCCATTATCACTTTTCCTGGGAAAAGGCTTTTAACACAGGAAGGAGCTGTCGGAGGGGTTTTACTCACAGGGGGTCTTTTTTTGGGGAATGAGTTGTAGTGTCTATTGCCTCCGTAAAATCATTGTCACCGTTCGTTAGTTTGCGCAAATTGCATATTTACGGTCTAAGGAGTATTTCCCCAGGTGCTTCCTGTCGAACCGCTGGATTTGGCTCAAACTATAACACATAATGTACCTTGCCACTATCTATGATATCGTAAAGTTATAGCCCCCTGCGTTCATTAGTGCCTGAGAAACGGCTTCCGGAAGTCGGGGTGTGTACTATTTGCATAGGGCATAACACCGGAAGTAGAGGTCCAGGGTTTCGGGATTCTAAACTTACCCTTCCTTTGACTAAGTCTAAAACAAAATATATTTTGGTTCTATTCCAATCGCTATTTGTACTTCCGGGAACCGTTATCACTTGGGCCGGGAACCGTTATCACTTGTCCCCGGGGGTTTCGAGGGGTCTGGATTTTTGCAATCCCGGGTCAAATCATCTCTAGTAACCATCCCAGCAGTTTCATAAAGCTAGCCACGGTAGTTTCCAATTGGGTGGGTTATCACAATTGGTACCTTTTTAAAATCCTGACTAATCTTAGTTTGTTTTGGTCGATTTTGCAACTTAACCAATTATTCACTTTCCTGCTTTATCGTATTGATTCGTCAATACCGAGCTACGTACAACTCATTGACCTTCACTACACTGCATGCATTACTCAAGGTAAAACTCTCAGTCAAAGTCTGAGTTTGGCAAAAAAAGGCTGGGATAACCGATCGTACACTTCGAAAAAAATGTCTTCCTTTTTTTTTAGGTCGACCAAATTATTTTCTGAGCTCTCCCAAATCGCTTAAAAGGCCCTACTTTGGCCAAATGTTTGCGCCGCAGTCGAATGTTTGAAAAAATAGGCCAAAAAAGGCCTTTTTAGGCACTTCTTGGAAAATGTTGGCCAGAATGAATCCATAACGGGAAGCACCTCCCCCCAATCGGCCCCTGAAAAGCAACCTAGTTTGAGAAAACCTGTTCAATAGCTTCTTTTTTTATATTCTGCAGGGAAATTTGAAATTTAAAGGGCCTTTTCCATACTAGAAGTCAGTCTCATTTTTTTTGGTCCATTTGAATATTGAATTTGAGTTATCCGAGAGCCTAATGCTTTTTATTTTTAGCAAATGAATTCGAATTGAACTTATAAAGCAACCGAAGTTTACTCCGCGAAAAAATCAATTTTAAAAAATTACTGAAAAAACGAAGAAAAAAGCATCACAACCTATATATTTTCACTACCTTCATTGACACTTAGAACAATAATTATTAAAACAGTTAAAACCAGCTAAAATCGCTGTTTGATTTCAGTTTTCGACGTTATCAACTGGAACTGGGCTCGATACATGGCGTGTTTCGAAAACTTTCTCTGTGTTAAATCCTCTACCAGCTAACTCTTCATTTTCTCCATCAAGCGAATATTCATTAATGATCAACTTCGGCTGACCTCTGAACTCCTCCGACCAAGTTGATGACGTCTGTCGTCTTTCAGCCGAGAGCGATCTGTCCCGGACTCTGATTTCGACACCCATGACCGCTGGTTGGTCGTCTCCTTCGTCATCCAGCACTGGCTCGGTGGCGAACACCCGGATTGAAGTAGTTTCTGCTTCAACTTCAAGTTCTTCCTGCTTTTCTTCCACTTTATTTTCTTCTTTACTGTGAATATTTTCAGAGTCCGATTGGGCTCCAAAGTCACTTGTTTGTGGCTAAATACAAAATTTATTCCACTCCATTTTAATTGTAGAACACAAAACTTAATTTACACAGCAGAGCCGCACTATGATCCAATGTATGATTACATTGACAGCTAAACGCGCGTTTAAAAAAAAAACGTTATTTCGTCAACTAACCAAAAGAGACTAAACGTGTCCTTATGTTTTTTTTTTAAAATTTAGGTAAGAATGTTTTAGCAAAGCAGGTTATTTTACGGCTAAGTGAGAGCTCGAAAAATCAATTTGCTCAACATCATGGTGAAAAAATTCAAACCCCTTGATCCTTGCTGGAAATTGATTTTTCGGACAATTATCTTGGCCTTTAGGAGATTTAGGAGGCCTTTATGCGGCTAGGTGTTCTAGCAGTCCGGTTTTTTTTAGTTGACTCGAAACAATGAAACAGTCAGAACGCTAACTTCAATCGCGGCATTGCAAGTAGAATACGCTTGTTCCGCTGCGCTTACATCCGACACGAAAGGAACCAGTGTTTGCCGTTAAACTTGTTTGTTTTGCTTAGAACTTTGTTGAGAAACCGTGAGATAATTGTATTAATTAGAGAAGCTCAACCCCAGATTACACGACATTTTACTTCAATCAATCAATTATGCGTCAATTTTTGCTGCCTCCACAAACCTGTCACTCAATGTCTGCTAAAAGACCTAAATTTCAATTTGTATGCAAAAAAACCGGTCTGCAAAAAAACCGAGATTATGAGTCTTTCCTTCCGTTTTATATTAAATGTTAATCTCGCTTCACAAGTAACGAATGTGAAAAAAATTGATAGGATTTCAAATCAATTTTGCTATCCGTTTTTCTCCTAACTTAGAACTCCTTCCTTAGAAGTTGAACTTTGAATGCATTTCAATATTCGAAACAAGTGGAAACTCAATCAAGTATCTTACCGGATCCTCATCAGTCTTCTTCTCCGTGCCATCTGCAACTTCACTTTCCTTTTGAGTAGAAATGGGGGGAAGCCCTTCGTTCTTCTGCTTGTCAACATTTGACCTCCATGCATCCGGAGACTGGCAGATGACACAGTCGCTGGCTCTGGACCCACTCCTGGCGACAGTCGCCGATTGAGGTCTGGAATTGGAGTGCTTCGACAGCGCTTTGTCAAATACTTCCTTCGGGAAACCTGCGCAGTAAAAAATTGATAATAAAACCTGAGAATTCCTGTTGAGCTTGCTGAGATCTGATGCAAATTTTTCCTTCGTAATTTCACCACGTACAATCAACACATCAAAAATCATCTCAGATAGCATTTTATGGGAAACGTATATTGCTTTCACAAATACTAAATTTGACCGAAATCACCCAAATTTTAAATTTATGAACAGAACCAAAGTTTACTGATGATCTTGGCTCTTCAATGTCCACTAGTTACCGTTTTGAAAATGACTTACCTTGCAAATGGGAAATCTGCCTGTCAGTGTGTGCACTGTTCAGCCTTTTTATATTCCGGGGATTTATCTGCCCTTCTCCCAGCTGTGTTGTTGGCGTCCTTGGAGTCGAGCTAACGGAGGTTCCTTTCGTCGAGTACCCGCTAGTTGGGCGACTTGGGGTCGGGGTCTGATCGAACACTTCCCTGGGGAGGGGGCTCTTCAGACGCGATGTCAGCTCAGTCTCGCTTGATATGACACGGCACTTGGCGCTTTTTCTCCTGAATCGGCGGTACTTATTGTCTATGTACTCCGGTGGCGTTGGCGGTGAGTAGTAATCGAAGATCTGCAGATGATGGGGACTGGTGAAGTTCTTCCTATAAAAAAGATAATTTTCATAGATTATCAATTAGATGAAGCCATGGTCGATTGTACCAGGTACTGTACTTCAAAAATGAATCGCCTCAACCGTTCTCCAAAAATGACTCCGAAACCCTCCAAAAGTGACTTGAGTCATTTAGCCCGGGTCATTTTCGGAAATAGTGCCAAAAACATCCGAAAACGACTTCTAACCCGAAATCGACCAAAAAAGACTAAAAAACATGGAATTACGTCCAAAGCGTCACAAATCCCCGGAAAACCCAAAAAATCTAAGAAATGGGCCCAAAATTTACCAAAAAGACCCAAAAAATGAAAAAAACGCTGCTAGCCCTAAAATTCTCCAAAAATTGACTTCTAACACCAAAAATCAACCAAAATCGCAGGAAAACCATCAGATTACCGCAAAACAATTAAAAAGCGTCACAAAGCACTGAAAAACCGAGAAAACGCGAAAAAAGATCCCAGAATTTTCCAAAAACGACCAAAAATTGACAAAATTGTTTCTAGCCCTTAAAACCTCCAAAAATGAATTCTGACTTCAAAAACCCCAAAATCGACCAATATACCCCCAAAACGTATCGCCCCCAAAACGTATCAAAAAGAATAAGGGATTACCCCCAAAACGTATCAAATCCCCGCAAAAATCTAGAAAACGCAAAATGTGCCATAGTCCTCCAAAAAGGACCAAAACTGACAAAAATGGCTCTAGCTTAATATAAGTCCAAAAACGACTTTCAACCCCAAAGTTCCCAAACATTTACTTAAATAGCCGGAAAAGATTGAGATTACCCGGAAAGATCCTAGACAACGTCAAACACTCTTGAATAACCGAGAAAACCAAAAAATGGCCCAGAATTTTCGAGAAAAAAAAAACATTGACAAAAATGCATCTTGCCCCAAAAACCTCAAAAAACGTCTTCAAACCGCAAATTCACCCAAATCAAGCAAAATTAACACCGAAATTACATTGAATAACCTCTTCAAGGTCAAAAAACTCGATGATGGAAAATCAAAACCTCTTTGTGAGCTAATTTGAGAAAATTTTTGAATGGAACTACTTTTTGTCATGAAATCGTCATTTTCCTTAACACTGACAGCTTAATAAAAAAGTTTTTTTATGGTGAATTGATTCTACTCTATGGAACAATGGTCCAAAACATCATGATAAACTTAAAAGGCTAACAAAAACAGAATACGGCCTTGATAATGGATATAAAAATTGAAACCAACACAGATCAATTCTAGAGGGTGAGTTAGGGTCAAGATTTTTTATAGAGAGTTTTTTTCTGATGAACTAAGGGTATTTACGAAAAGCTCTGCCTATCTTTTATCCAGGAGTATCTTTAGTTTTAAAAAAAATTGAACTTTAAGATAATCCTCGAAAGTAGATAAAAGTAGAATAAGCAGCGCTTTCTACTTATCTAGTTACGAAGCGTAAATTTATGTCCCATCAAGTTCGGCGCATATTTGAGTTTTAGAACGGAAATGATCTAGGCGGGATTTGAACCTGCGCTGAACCCCCCCCCATGATGCACTGTGTATAAGCTCGGCTACTGTCTCTGTATGCAATTATAGTTCAAACTTGTTATATTCAACTATACTTCAAACTTGTATTTACATTTGCTCAGCAACAAGTTCATGCTTGATTTGTCCGCGATGTCTCGCGTAATATGATCTAAAATGCTGCATTGGATGAAGTTTGTCACCTATAAACGGTGAAGTCCCATTTGTACCAACGTTCATTTATACCAAAATGAAAAATCGGTCCCATTTGTACCAAAATTATTCAACTGGTTTTCTGATTGGTCGAATAGTGAGCCGACGAATTATAACAAAAATTTTCTACTCTTCAAACAAGAAAACTAAGCAGCAGAATAGTGACCGCCGCAGTCGCGCCAACGTGTTGCGAGCTTGCCAACAGAGGGTAGGATTCTATACGAAAATTAGAGTCGGTTATCGCCGCAAAGCGGCGACGCGCGCGTAGCGCGCCCACCGGCGACCTTAAACCAAGAGCTTAAAATAGTCGGCTTAGTAGTCATTGGCCAATTGAATATTTTTGGTACTAACGCGATGGATTTTTTATTTTGGAACAAATGGGACTGATTTATCTTTTTGGTATTTGTGAATACCCACCCCTATAAACATCCATATGTGATAGAATTGAGCCTTTGGATGATTAAAACTGACTTTTTCATAGTTTTTAATTTGTACAGTTTTTTCAACTTAACACTCAGGGTAGGTGCTTTTTGTGCAAACTCGACTCAAAGTGTTTTTTTCATAAAAACAAAATTAAAGTAGTGCATATTAAAAAAACCTTGCTAATTAGATCAGTTTGATTGATAAAAAAAAGCTACCAGTCAGTCAGCCGTGGGTTATACCGAGTGCCGGTACCCATTTTTGCTTGTTTTGACAGGTCTTTGAATGTTTTCATGTGAAGACCTGCATGTTAGTTTTGAGGATCCTTATAAGGGACCATAATTATATAAGGGACCACAATATCCACTACGCCAGTCATCTACAGATTTGACTCCGTTTTCCGGACTGTCGAAGATTCACCTGTTCATGGTCAGAACGAAAATTGAAGACTGGGCTTCCTCTACTTCCGTGTAAAATGATGTGAATTCCAACTCTTGTCTAGAGACTTTGTCAAGTAGATGTACGGAGTGCACATCCGATGTTTTTCCAAGGGGCTGTTATGATAGTTGGACAACTCTCAATTTTATATGTGGTTTATATGTTGTTTTTATTGAAGAAAAGTACTATTTCCAGATAGATAATCATTGGTAAACGTTCCTAAACTACCACTAAAAGTGGTAAATTCATGAAGCCTACAGATCCAGCCAGGAAAAAAGCGCGGTGCAAAGATTGAAAAAAGAACAAGAAAACGCGTATGACAGTGAGGGCGTCTGTGCTGAAGAAAAAGAATGTTGAGCAAATTTTAAACGACATGCGCGATCTTGATCGCCGGGAATATGACCCGGAACATGAAGAACTTCGTGGTCCCCTTGTGGTGCAAGACATGGTCATCAAAGAAAAAAGAAGAAAATGGTAGAGACATTGGACAGAGTGCTTAAGTTGTACAACCGAGATGATCCTGAAAGAGCAGTACGAACAAGAAAAACGACAAAGGGATCATCATTTCGAAGCAATTAGACAAACGATGTTCGTGAACTTCAACGACATTCCCTTGCCATCCGATGAACCATCGGCACCCGGATCTATCACAGTTGTTACGCAACTGCCACCTCAGCTGTAATTGCGAGCAGTGGCAAATCTCCCCCAGGTCCGCCACCTGGACAACTCCCTTTGAAGAAGTTCAAGCAAAACGCGTCAGCGCGTTACAGTGAATTTGAAGAGAAGAGTCTGATGTCTGGGAGTCTAAGTATGCCTCCAAATAGTAGAAACCTTGATCCTCCCGTTCAGGTAAGACTAATGGCTCTAGCTGAACAGCCGAAATCAGGTCAACCTATGCGCCCATTGCCTACGAGAGTAGATGAACCTCTACCTCCAGGCGTAGCACATCCAATGATGCCTCCTCCTCGTGGAAACCAAGTACCTCTCGGCAGTCGAAATCCTAACAGACCAGATGGAACCGCACCTGGATCAGTTTTCACTGCTCCACCAAGTATTATAGAAAACACTCCAGCAATAATGATACCAGCCAAGCCACAAATAAACCTTGCGCTCAAAACGGCTTCAACTAAGGGAGTACTCACAACAGTACACTTCTTGTGTACACTATCTGTGGGACTAGCACATGAGCTGAAAAGTCCTCAGCACTCAGATTTGACTGCTGGTCACGATATTCCTACGTCTTATCTTTCAACAATTTCATATGTCATCTTTTTCTGTGTGCTTGCAGTTCTGATTGTCCTCCAAATCTTTTGCTGTGTTAAATGCCGTAAAAAAAGTTTCCTGATGAAGATCTAGAAGAGGGAGAGTATTGCCAACACAATTATGCATCGCAAGATGAAAGTGGTATCTTGTACAACAACTCTACAATTCGGGTCTCAGCCGTATGACAACGACCACAACGATTACGTAGTGGATCTTATCTTGGATCATCAAATCCTACAAAAACTCGCTGGTTGCCCCCATTAGCATGTACGAAATAATGAAGAATTGCTGGTGCTATCTTTCTACAGCTCGGCCCAAAGCGGAGTTGGTGGAACAGTTGCAATTGGAGGCTGCACGTCCAAGGATAAAATGGAAGATGCACTGTTCACCGTTGCCACACCATAACTACATCAATATGGAGGCTATCGTGCGACAGCATCAGGCAGAAAGGCCAAAAAAACGTCGAATTTGATTTGTACATTTGAAAAACTATTTTCAAAAATTTTCGTTTTGCTTAAATTGTGGTTGAGTGAGGAGTGATTGTATTTATTACCCATCAGATTGGGTTCAAAAATCTAGGTTTATTTTTAGTTTTTTTCCTAATTTTGAAGAAGTCAGTGTTTATTGTTTGGATATTTTGACTTCATCCTGATTTCCTACTGACGGACGAAAAGCAAAAATCTTAAAATTCGAATGCTAGAAATGAAAAAAAAAAGTTCTTTTTTGTTGACTGAAAAAAAGGATTTAGTAGACATTATTAGCCGGCGTTCAACTTATGTCTTTTGATAGTGTCTTAAGTTTTCTGTTATTGTCTTTAGCGTCTTGTGTTCGATATTTTCCCGAACCCGAGACAATTGAATTGATTGACTAGAATTGAAAATTAGATATTGAATTACCTAGAGATCAAACTATTCGGTTATTTTAGGTTATTTGAAAACAAATGGTGAAGTTATGCCTCAGGGTGATTCAGTAGAAACTATTCAGCTGAGGAGAAACTGATCAACTGAAAAAAAAAACACGGGAATTTAATCAACTAGGGAGAAACTGACAATAAACTATTCAAATAGGGAGAAATTGATCAACTGAAAAGAATCTGACGGGAATTTAATCAGCAAGGGAGAAACTGACGAGAAAATAATCAACTAACAGTGAAACTGATCAACTAGAAAAAAACTGACGAGAAACTAATCAAATGAGCTAGAATGTCTTTTATCAGTTCTAGAATCATCTTTGTACGACTAATTGAACTACTTCGGATCCCACCAAAAGTGAATATCTAGAGTCTATTCTTCTCTGCTTCACGTGGATGTTGAAACTGCTGTGACTACCGTGTTACTGACGTTTTCTGAGAAGCTATTATTTGTAAAGAAGTAATATTAGCGCTGTTTTCAGATGTAATTTGATTTGTGCTTGGACTACTTTTTGTTAAATCCGAAAAATATGACAATGGATCATTAATTGCATCAACGTTCACACTTTTAAAAGCTTCCGTGGTTCTCATCTCGTTTCGGTTTAGAGAACCATCGGATGAACGAACAGTTGTCACTATTCGATTTTTTTCGATAAGGCCATAATAGTACTGCTAATGCGTCATTCCTTAAGAGACGCACGCCAATTATAAGTCTGCGTAGTCGATAAGTGACGCAAGCCAAGGCTCTTTTACAGTGTCCCCCCTTTCAAAACCAGTTTTAAAAGTTGATTTAACGTTGTCATAATGCAACGAAAATTGGCGTGGTGAACAAATCGTCAACTGTGTACAGATTTGTTCTTCATACTTTACAGCGTAACTTCACTCATTTAGCTGTAATAACACGTTCAACAAACATAAAACTCGGTATTTTGAAAGGGGGAACTGGAGAGCAGCCCAAGCCAATTATGTTCCCTCTTTCAAAATACCGAGTTTTAGGTTTGTTTAACAAGTTATTACAGCTAAATGCGTTATGTTACGCTGTAAAGTATGAAGAACAAATCTGTACACCGTTGTCGATTTGTTCACCACGCCAATTTTCATTGCATTATGAAAACGTTAAATCAACTTTAAAAACTGAATTTGAAAGGGGGGACACTGTACAAGAGCCTTGGCTTGCGTCACTTATCGACTATGTAGACTAATAATTGGCGTGCATCACTTAAGGAAATTTGTAGACTCCAAGTTTTACACATTCAATTTTCCCAATAGCGTTATCGGTCATATTTTGCTTGTGTATGCGAAGTGCAACTTCGCTTCTTTGTCAACGTATTATTTTGGCATGTTTAAAGAAAAAAAATTTTTTTTTGCACGTTTATGCCTTAGTTAGGGTTGTTTTCCATTTTCAATTCAATGTTTATTTCACCGAGCTTAAAATCGCGACCAATCAGCTGAACGAACAGTTGTCACTTTTACGAGTATACGCTATTAACACCCTTATTATGGCATCCATTCCCACCCCTCCCTAGTTCTTCGATATTTTCTTTTCCATCTCCTATCCCGAAACTTCTCATCGCCTTCTCAATGTCACTGCCACAGCTAATCAGTTGTATCTCTGTAACGCGTAAATAGTATTCATCGCGGTCTTATGCTCGTTCGCTTAGAAACCTAATTGGCACCTAATGGCCACATCATTACAAAATTATTCATCGCGGTCTTTCTTCAGCTTTTTAGCACTCAAGAATCTTTAATATTTAACGAATGTCTCTTTGAAATCTCGAGTACGCCGTTTCCTGAAAACTTTGATGTCTTTGAAAGTTCCTTCTGTCGTCAATTGCACATTGCTGAATTTGGACTTTTGATCATTTAACTCTGATGTTTCTCCCGCTTTTTCCTATACGCTGCCATCATGCCTTCCTCGTTACTGTCTGCTTTTCCTTAACAGCTATATCGAGTTCTGGCTTGAGACCTTCTTCCTTGGAGGTTCCACATCCAAAGGATGCTTCACGTTTGGTTTTTAGGCCTTTTCCGGTCAAGATTCGCTCAAGGACTTACATAACTCGTCGTGTCTCTTGGTTCGGGCACTCCAGGTCTAAGGACATTTCTGTACAATGTGGTTCACGCTCTCCTGGCTCATGCAACCCGCATCGGAGACAGTGCTACCGACTTTGGTGTAACTTCGTCGGCGGTGCTTAGTCATTATTGAGTTAGATGGTACTTTGAGGGCCCTAATGTAGTCTGCACCGGACATCAGCTTAGTCTCGTTTGTGATCTATCTGGCTGTATTAGGACTGTTAGTCTGGATGCTGAGATGTTGTCCATCTACAGTATTTTGTATCTTCGATCTCCAGTAATCGTCTTCATCTTTTTGGGCTACGATTACAATGTTCTGTACTGCCCGGGTTCCACACTGAACATTCCTCTTTTTCTTTTGTCGTGGTAACTTATTAATGATGTTCACATTGTTTTTTTTTGTATATCGCTTAGATCTTTATTCGGGTCACCATTTGTACGAAGCAGCATCAGCCCCTGAAAGAACCAAAAAAAAACACAAATCAAGAAGACCAGCACTACAATATAGTTTCATTGTCGTCTTCTGAAATTAGAATTGCATAACTATAATGCATAAAATAGTCGTTTCATTTTCAACCAATTGTTTATACTACTAAGATAGTTTTTGTAAATACATTACTCTGGCAGATGAAATTGTTTTCAAAAACCAAAAATAACATTTTTGCCAAATACTATTCGACGGAAAGATTGAAAGAATCAGAGAAGCTATCGTAATGACGAAAGGATTCACCGATGCAACAGGCGTTGAGCGATGGGTGACTTCTTATCCACAAATTAAAGCGGCTATATCTATACAGAATATCCTCAGAGATCTGAAGATACTCTTTGCCAAATTCCTGACACCGAAGTTCGGCAGCCATGGAAAAATCGACTGTGATAAGTTCATTTGCCATATTGAACGTCTCTCAAGAAGAGAGCAGAAACCTAAGAGGTCAAGACAGAATCTTGGAGACAAGCACGATCCTAAATGGGTTACCATTCGGGCGCTGAACGATTCCCCAGATGCCATCCTGGCTTTGGCGAAGAAACTAGATGACGAACAAGTAATAAGCCACCATTTGACTTCGAATACCCTAAATTTCTTGCCATTGCTGGAAGAATTCAGAGAGCTACGAGTGGCTAACTATGAGAATGGAAAGTCGACGCCTTTCACGAACGGAAATGTCGACGGAAAGAATCAGAGAAGCCATCGTAATGACGAAATGACTCACCGATGCAACAGGCGTTGAGCGATGGGTGACTTCTTATCCACAAATTAAAGCGTCTACATCTATACAGAATATCCTCAGAGATCTGAAGATATTCTTTGCCAAATTCCTGAGTCGAAATTCGGCAGCCATTGAAAAATCGACTGTGATAATTTCATTTGCCATACTGAATGTCTCTCAAGAAGAGAGCAGAAACCAACGAGGTCAAGACTCTCTCTGACCCCCTTCATCTTTTTGGCCTTCAGTTTAAGTGCCTAATGTGTGCGTCATTTTGCGTCTATTTCCAGAAATCTGGGGTCTAGATCTACAGACTTAACGCTTGTATTTTTTGATTTTTTTTCAAAAAAAACATTTTTCTCTTTAATTCTTGAATGAGAGTTCGAAAGATCCTCTAAAACAATTTTTATTGTTAAGGCTAGCTCTTTTCCACTTCCTGAGTGAGTTTTTTAAATAAGAAAACGGTTTCTGATGAATTTTGATGATTTTTTTGTACCCAGATGTCAGATTTTCTGGCATATGGGTACAAGTCAGTGGGCTGTGCCTCTTGAGCCAGCCTTCTGACTGCTTTTATTTTTTGAGCTTCAGTTTAAGTACCTAATGTGTGCGTCATTTGGCGCCTATTTACAGAAATCTGGGGTCTAGACCTACACAGTTTGTAGGTTTGATACTGTTTTTAGACCAAAATCTTCAAAAAAATGAAAAAAATTACGACTAACACATATTAAAAAATTCTACCCCTAACTCACCCTCCTAAAATGATCGGTCATAACCCTAAATTTTTTTGACATGTTTAAATTGTCTGAAAATTGCCAAAAACAGGTAGGTAGGCTAGATATTGCCTGGGCTTCCCTCGAGGACCAATTTTGAAGCTTTTACGATGAGTAAAACCGAGATCTCATATGTCCGAGCCGGAGGAGACTTCCTCTCCAAAAATGACCCGGGGTAGGATTAGGCTATAATGGGGAAGAACAAAACCATGCTCACACGCAAATATTGAATACAAAGGAGGTGTGTCAACTGTATGTAAATATGATAATCAGTTAATTTCTCTTTAGTGCTTTAAGAGCCAGCGACAAATAATTGATATAAAAAACAAATCAAAACAAGACGCACAAAGGGTGAACAATATTCAGAACAAAGGCGAAGGATAACAATGAATAGTTGACATTGAATGAGACTGATTTGTTTGGTGGTGAGACATACAGGGGTTCAATTACAAACCATTACTTACCTTTCAATTTATGATTGCGCTAGAAAAAGAAGAGAAATGAGAGATAAAAACAGTTCAGTTAGTTCAAAAATGCAATAAATCCATGAATACATGAATATACGCACTATAGGTTAAACATTGACTCTTTTAATTTGATAACCATCAAAATTTTCTTCGAAACTTTTTCTTCACCTCATATTTCCATTATTCTTCATTCTCGTCGGGAAAAATTGAGAAGCAGTTCAAAAAAATTGCAGTTTATAACTATACAAGTTCAGTACCAGAGTCGCGCCCTGCTCAGTATAATAATTAAAAGCCTAGTAGACTTCTTGAACCACGACGACTTGAAAGCAAGACTGTTTGAACGTAAATTGGGACTTCTTCAAGCATTTTGTCAACATTTCTACATCATGTACATACTAGAAAAACTATCTACTAGCTTTTCTATATCTCTAGGTCAGCACACTTCAGTATTATAGCTTTAAATCCCTTCAATAACAAAACAAACCATGTGAACAATCTCCCCCTTAATAGACCAAGTGAACAATCTCCCCCTAAAATTAAATGGCAAATTCAAGCAGTAAGTCCTGCATGGTATATGCTCAAATCTGATTGGCTGAAAAATATTACTTTTAACCAAGTGAACTTTATCCCTCTTAAATTGATTTGAGGGGAGATTGTTCACTTGGTCCAAAAAAAAACAAATATTGAGACAAACGTCTTATAATAACTTAAAACTAACCTGTTGTATTTGGATCCAACTAAGAAGGAATGGAGTGATTCTCCGTTGAAGGGAGCATGCAGGGGGTGCAGCTGCGGTCTCTTCACAGTTTCCGCAAACTTACGCTGGCCTACAAAACAAATAGAACTTCGAATAAAAAACAGACACAACAGCAGACATCGACAGCTGTTTCAGCCACACAGATTTCAGCTTTTAGAAAAATTGGAATGAAAATTGGAAAAAATCCGGTATTCGAGATATAAAATACATTTGAAATTTTTTTCACTGATGAAATAACACGCTTATAAATGTTGCATTCCTTGCCAATGATACAGCTAACAAGTTTCAATTCCAATAAAAATTGAGAAAATCAGCATTACGCAGGGTCCCCCCTCAGTACTATTTTGAGATATCCATATTTGGTGACGGACTCCTAAAAATTTTCTTAAGGCGCGTTTGGCGCCAATATATACTTACTTTGAGGGGGGAGCGCGGGCCAAAAAAAACGCAATTTTGTTGGTCAAAATTTTCTAAAAAGTGCTTACAAACGGCGCAGAAAATTTGATCAAAACAGGGTCTTTTTAGTGCCTTGGGAGAGCTCGGAAAATCAATTCGGTCGATCGGTTGACCTAAAAGGTCGACAAAATTTTTGAAACGCCAAATCCCCCCCCCCCCCCCCCCGGGGGAAAAACCTAGATCCGCCCCTGGCATTACGTAAGCAAAAATTAATGCGAACAAGATGAACAAAAACTCAAAACGTGCTAAAGTGAAACCTATCGCGCGAGGAAAAATAACAAGAATTTTCCGTTGAAGAATTTTATGGTCCGCCTATGTAATGGCGAAGCTTTTCGAAAAGCAATATTGATTTAAGGTACTTTTCAATGCAAGAATTTCTGAATAATTTGAACTTACTTTGACAATTGTTCCATCGTTCGTTTTCACTGCGCAACAGCTGCTCATAATCGGCGGGCCTCCTGCCTACTTTCGGACTAGGAGTACTTTTCGGTCTACTCGGGGTAGGGGGAGGTCTAAAATTAGGAAAATACATTTATGAAAAAAAAACAACTAGCTTTTTCATTTGAACCAAATTCAAGGAAGTTTGGGGGCAATATATCACAAATATAACAAACACAGGCAATATTACAATAGGTGTTACATCACAAATGCTACTTTTTGGATGCACCAAAAAGCTTCGTGAATCACTTCAAAAATTTGAACAAAATGTAACATATCATAAACCTAACTTCTATTTAGAACTATTTTTGCTCCAAAAAAATTACTAAATTTTCATTGATGCTTTTTGCAAAGAGTTCTTGTCATTTTAATCTTATTTTGATAACCTGGAAACAGAATTTTTGTCACAGTTAGAGCATCCTTTCATTTAGATGAAATTGTACTACCCTACTAAACTACCTTAAGCTAATGTATCACTAAACATTTCTCCAGACACATGTATGCGTATTGATTTATATTATGATGAACAGGGCAACTTAATTGTTCTTAACTAGAATTAAGATTAGATCATCCCGACTTCTGAATTGGATCCTTTTAACAGGGTCTAGAAAAACAGGCCGACGGGAAGTCAAACCGAAGGGACTTCACGCCTAAAATTTAATTTTACGAGAGCACCAAAGACGCTATCTTTTCATGTGTAAAATGTTAGTTTTCAAAAACTAAGGCAAGTTTAGTCTACGCTATCTTTGCATCTTTCTTTCTTCTTCTTTCTCAATTGGAGGCTCAAAATTAACGAAAAAGCCAACAACTGGTAAAGAAAGATCATGATTATACTTCATGTGTAACTTCGCCAAAATGTTAGTCTTGAAGTCCCTAATTTTACTATTCGGCTTGATGTCCCGTCGGCTTGATGTCCGGCACCCGTTTTACCTATACAAGCTTAACATTATTTTCTTTGAATGAAACTCAGTAAGTCGCCAATATAATGACATGATCAGTTTTCCTGAGTTGATTCCACACCCTTAGTGACTCACCATGCAAACCTAACCCTCAATCTCTAATAAATAAGATCTAAATGACTGACTTGTATCCAAAATAGTCGTCCCGATTGAACACGTTGCATCCACTTCCTCTGGAACTGGGTCTCCCAATAGCCCTATAGGGTGGCTCCGGCGTCCACTGGTAGTCCTGCTTGACACTAGATGCGCCCCTCAATATCTAAAAGCGCATTTGTTAACAAACTTGGCAGTTTAACTATTGGATCTACTAAACAATCCATCTATGGTATCTACCAAAAAAATTGTCAGCCCTATAAATAAATACAGTAAATTAAAACTAGAGCTCTCCGTTTCTAATTCGAAATTCGTTGCATTCTCATTGGTCGAAAATTCTCCCTTTTGGATCTACTTAACAATTGCCCCCTTTTCTGGAAAGGAGGGGAATTGTTAACTAGATCCTAATTTTTAAATATGAGGTAGAACACGCAAGTGTAACAAGAATAGCCAATTGTTGTACAAGTAGCAAAGAATGTTCCGATCGCTACAATTAGACACGGCAAATCCGAATCTTGACCGACAGCGTTAGGATGACCACGCATTCGAGACTAATGGGAAGGGCGTGATCGGAAGTTATTTTGGTAAAAGATGATTAATAGAGTCGTTTTATATATCAATCATTGATGTATCAATCTTGACTTTGAACAGTATTCATCGCACCTTTTTTCCTCTTTAAACTATTTTTTTTGTTATATCTCATATTTCAGAATGTTATGAGATATTCTAAACTGTTTTAAAGTGTTTGCGATGCCAAAGTTTATTTTCGATTGAAATTTGAACACCACACAACTCGACAAGCAACTAAACGGCCCTTTTGAAGTTCTTCCAAGATGAGATTTTTTATATTATGTTTTTACAAATTATAAAAAATATTGTTCCCTTCTTGAAACGATGTTGTATCATAATAATTTATCAAGTTGACCTTTTTCTCCTCCTTGGAAGACACAGGCAGAAGTCCAGTGAGAAAGAGGACATTCTGGCCGTCTGAGAAGTGCATGCCTTGAGTCTTCTCCAACACCCATTGTGGAGTACCAGTGTTCAGTCTTCCAGTCAGGATGTCACCCAGTCTATCGGAGAAACTGGCCTCGAACTCGACAGACATTGGCTACCTGAAATCAATTTTACAGCGAAAAAATTTATAATGTTCACAGCAATTTGGGGTACAGTTTATGAGCACGCTTCCAGAACTGAGATTTTCATTAGACATCTCTGCCATTTTCAGAGGCCTCACCAGAACTTATTAAGGATATATGGTATTGCAAAGGTAACCTCTCATGGTTCATAGACATAGAGTGCAAAGACATTTCGTCTTCGACTAAAACAAAACCCCTGAGTCCAAAAAGATGAATATTAGACGCGTGTCCCAGAAAAAATTTTCCATAAATCTTTTCTTCGATTTTTCTTAGTGATATTTAAAACTTTGATCTACAGCGTTTGGTTGATAGTTCAATTTTAACAGTTAATGCCAAATTTTTGGCAATATCGGTGATCTTGTACAACCAATCGTTCAAAAACAGTACATTTAAGTTTTCTTTTGGACACGGTTTTAACTCCGTGGAAAGAGCGAAACATCAATTTCCGGCGTACAGATAAGCAACTTTTTGTTAATTAACTTCGTTGGGATTTGTTGTCTATAAAGGATATTGACAACTATTTGGCCTTAACTATAGATTATATGTGGGCCAAACACCCTAGAACGTCATAGGCGAGACAAATTTCGAAGCAACAAAAAACCATTTTAAAATCGAAATCATTATGGCCCTTTTGGGAGCTAGATGCTGCGCATTTTTCTCGGTTCAGAGACTGCAACAATTCAAGGCTGCATCTTTTTCCTTTTATCAGATGTTTTTTTTTGTTATGGGAAACCTTTTGCCCGGCGCACATTTTCTCCATAAGATTTAGGCGTTTTACTGTTCGTGCTGAAACTTTTCGATAAGATTCGGTTAGAACGGAAGCTTTGCGTTCACTACTTCAACATAGTTGTTATTCTGAAACTCAACACATTGATGGCAACTCCAGTTATCATTGTCAAATCTGGACTTTTGACGAGCTCCGGTTGCTGTCTAAAATCCACAAAAACGATCTTTCTTAAAGTACTTGAAGACGAGGCAAGCTATCGAAAGGTATGTCTTTTGGTTCTTAATCACTTACTGGAACTAAAATTGTACTCAGTAGAATCAGAACATGCTCAACTTCTGGATCAAGCTTGTAGCTGTTTTGTGTCACCAGTAAACTGAGTGGTCCACCAAAAAAAAGTATTTCACAAGCACTTTTTTGGATTTTGACTGGAAAACACTTCTACTCGATATTTCAAAATCAATCCTTAACCGTTCAGGAAAATGTATGGATGCAGTAATAAACCGAATTCATCCTTTGACAAGCACTTTTTTGGGTTTTGACTGGAAAGCACTTCTGCTCGATATTTCAAAATCAATCCTTAACCGTTCAGGCAGGAAATTGTATGGATGCAGTAATAAACCGAATTCTTCCTTTGACAAGCACTTTTTTGGGTTTTGACTGGAAAGCACTTCTGCTCGATATTTCAAAATCAATCCTTAACCGTTCAGGAAATTGTATGGATGCAGTAATAAACCGAATTCTTCCTTTGACAAGCACTGTTTTGGATTTTGACTGGAAAGCACTTCTGCTCGATATTTCAAAATCAATCCTTAACCGTTCAGGCAGGAAATTGTATGGATGCAGTAATAAACCGAATTCTTCCTTTGACAAGCACTTTTTTGGGTTTTGACTGGAAAGCACTTCTGCTCGATATTTCAAAATCAATCCTTAACCGTTCAGGAAATTGTATGGATGCAGTAATAAACCGAATTCTTCCTTTGACAAGCACTGTTTTGGATTTTGACTGGAAAGCACTTCTGCTCGATATTTCAAAATCAATCCTTAACCGTTCAGGAAATTGTATGGATGCAGTAATAAACCGAATTCTTCCTTTGAAATGGGGAAAGGGCATTCACAATAGCAGATGCGTCTTGGAAAGAAATTTAGAAAAATTCACAATTAAATAAAGTATTTTACAATTAAAAAACAGAAACCCACAAAATTGATGTTTCCATTGAGCTGCAATGCTTAAAATAAACAAACGCATCGCAATAGTCGTGTTGATCATAGGGTTTTCTATCAAGAATTCGAGCTGAGAAATAAAAACAGATGGAAAAGACAGCTAGAAAAAAAAACAACAAATGGTAGGAAACCAAAAATTACAGAGACCAAGCTGCGCTTCACCAACACTAGCCAGAACACGACAAAAAAGGAGCTCTATGAAGAACTAGATATTATGAGCCTCACGCGCTAACCACTGAACCACGGACGCTTTATACATCACAAACACTAGCCAAAAACAAAACAGAGAACATAGACTATGAAACTTCCAATGCTACAGATCGTCACTACAGCAGAAGTGCCACCAACTAATTGAGCACTTGTAATAAACACTTTTACTTGCGAATAAGGTTTAAAAAAAGAATGTTCTTACTAATACACAAACGCTCGCAGGTGTAACTACTAACTTGTTTTCGAAAAAAAAAAACTTTCTTATTTTAAAGAAAAATAGACGACATGAAAGCTCTTCGAATTTCAAGAGCAGCTAATGATTGGCAAACTTTTGTTGCAATAAACGTTTTGTTGAAAAAAACTTGAAAAAACTGAATCAATAGGTAAACTTTTTATTCCACTGAGAAATTAAAAATTGAAATCAACTTTTGACACGCTAACGTTTTTTGGAGCCATTTCCGCGCAATTTGCATGCTTTTATCAAATAAGTTAGAATAGAATTAAAAAGAGATCAAAGTCAAACCGCAGTAGATCAAACTTGGCGATAACAAATGGAAACCCCTTCCTGAAAAAAACTTCCTTTTTCTGTAGTATCCCAGTGATCGCTATTTTCCAGCGCTGATTCATGTATAATTCAGAGTTTTTTGCACAGCTAAAACTGCGATGTTTCAGAGCTATATCAGTAACGATGATAATTCATCCATGGCCATAGTTGTTTTTTTTTCACTTTTTATCGCTAATTTTCAATGTGAGCTCAACCCGGGTTTACAAGTGTATTCACTACGTTCATTGGCACTTAATAAAAAACGATTTTAAGACTATTAATGTCTACGGATGTTTTATGTATCGATTCTGCCTTCATACATAGAAATTAATGAGACATGTTTTGATTTCGTCACTCATCTAGGACAGCTAACAATCTTCAAAAAAGACATATATTCACTTTCGCACGACGCCAATCGAACACTTCTGCTACTCGATCATTCAATCTATTTACTTGATCTTGCAAATTATCTATTTATCATCACGTCTCCGTAACTTTCACTTACTTCTTTTTTATTGCAATCAAGGATCTGATGGCTCGACTCTCAAAAAGATGTTCAGACATGAGTCATGGCAAATATAACATCTGATCCAATTAACTTCAGAATAGTTCCAGATTAAACTAAATTTCGCACCTGATCCTGGATTGGACCTAGTGAGTAGTTCGACAAATATATTTAAAATATTCAATTAAAATTAATTCATGTAGAAAATATTGGCTAACTATTAAACTCTACACAAATACACATCGCAGATGCAAGAAGCACATAGAAATTCAGATGAGCGTCTGAAATTTGTCGGATTGCAGTCTCCCTTTCCGCTTCGGGTTAGATCAGCATTCGTCATTCGGTCAGACATCATCATCCAAATAAAACCAAGTGTTCAGACAACTAGCGACTGATTCTGAGGGGATATGACGCTTCTCTGGGTTAGTTTTTGTCTGAAGGCAAAGTGAGTATTAGTTTAGCTTGTGCTGTTTAATCGCTTCTATGAGTTGTGTTCTGTCCGCTTCGTCTCCGAAGGTTTTTTCTCGGTGCTCAAAAATAACTCCGGAGGAAGAGATTGCAAACACGGATCCCATGAGAAGACCATCGCCTGCAATATTATAAAATTATCTAATTCGATAAGCAAACCATTTTTTTCAAACTTTTACTATATTGAGCAATTCAGTGAGCTATCATAAAACGGTTGCATCAAATATCCATCGAGCCAATTGCGCTGTCAAATTTCAACTCTCATATTTTATGACAAATATTTTCCACTGTTGCAATAGGTGATAAAGCTAATTCTAGTTGGCTAATACTTTTTATGGCTCGTCTCACCTTTCAAGTTTCCCCACGAGCCCAGCGACTGGAACACCTTTTTCATCACAGAAGGATTCAGCAGCTTCGCCGTGCTCTCTCGTCTTAAGTCGGGCCCATAGAACCGACGCTGAACACACGTCATTTCGTCAAAATTAATGATACTAAATCTATCATAGCTTTAAATATGGATGTTTTCTATGCGTAAGAAAAAATGTTTCATGGGAAAAATCTAGTTCCAGACTAAAGGCACTCTCTTTCTCTCTCGCAAGTTTAAAAATGAGAAATAAAAAAAACGGTGATGGTGCTTCTAAATTCGCGAAGGCACCTCAAAACAAAACAACCGAATGGGTTCGCGGGTCGTGTCATGATAACGCTGCTTTGAAGCTTCAAGGGGAAATTGGAACGCTTCCTACACTTAAAGTTTACGATATCTATGAGTAGCCGAACCCGCCTGACCTAGATTTTTTTTGAAAATGCAAATTAAGCGCTTCGAAAACAAAGAACAGCTAGTGATCAGCTCATTTGTCATACGAAAATTTTAAATAAAATTTGTACATGGCAAAAAAGCAGGGATATATATAGGTGGCAGGTTCAAGTTAAATCGCTTTGTATTATACGAACAGTATTTGTAATTTAATTAAAAAGCAAATGCAGCTCGATTTCTAAAAAGTGCATTACGAAAAAGTAAAAATAAGCCTCGACTTAGTAAAAAATCCGGCGAGGCCCGGCACCTACGACCTACTGTGACCAAAAAAATAAAGAGTCTTATGCACTAGCCACTCAGCCACGGACGCTTAGTCCATCACCAACACTAGTCACAAATAAAGCCGAAAACAGATGCTATGAAATTTCCAATGCTACAGATCGTGACTAATAGCAAAACGGCACAGAAGTGAACACTATTATTTGCAAGTTAGGTTAGAAAAAAGAAGGTTCGTACTAAAACACTAGCTGCTCGCTAGCCTAAATAAACATAGACAACAGAAGACAGTTTGAAAAGAGTCAATGAAAGCAACAAGTAAACAAAAATAAGAATAATATATAGTATATAGTAAATACTACAACGCTGTTGTAACATTTCTATCTCACTTGGACGTCGTGGTAGACGGGGTGTGGATGGAACAGAGTTGCAAACTCCTCCCAGCCTAGCTCCTCGTGCAGCACAGCGTGGAGAGAGTAGCCATTGGCCTCCATCTCTTCACTCAGAGCGGACAGCTTCGAGGCTTCCTGAAACACAACGTATAGAAGCAGGCAGGCTGGCCACTTTTTTCTATTTTCTCTAAAATATATAGACCTTCCAAGCATGATTTAAAATCACCCCAAAATAAAAACAATGAGAATGCGAATTCATGTCAGCAGCATCTAAGATTTTTCAGGATAAAACACTGGGAAAATGTAAAAGAACAAGGAAACCAAAAAAATGATTAAAAACTTTTACATTTTTCAATTTTCGGATTTCGAAGAAACAAATATCAAGTTACTTTGGATGTTCCCATTCGTATCTGAAGACACGCAACGTTCCCAATATCATTCAGCTCCAGAAAATATAGACTTCCTAAAAATTACAAACCAAATAATTACTTTGAAAGACCAGTGGTCAGCCTGGAAGCAGTCAAGGTGCAAAATGCTCAAATCAAGCCTGTTAGCTGAAGAAATAACAGAGCCGACGAAAAGTGCCGAGGAAAGAATTCGAGTGATTTGTTAATAAAAAGTTACTTAAACAAAAAAAAATACATGATACTGTCAAACTCAGACAGACCTGTTTTACTGAAATTACAGAGAAGCAATAGCCAATATATTTAGTTTGAAAATCTGTAACCGTCAAAACAAAATTAGACCCTATACTTCAGTTTAAAACTTCGCCACTGCCAAAGCTTTACTAAGGTGATCTCATGATTTTTTCGGCAACAAAACAAAACTTGAAAAAAGCGCTCATGGTATTAAAGGCTCGGAGATTAATTTGGTTTAACCCCTAAATGAAAAAAAAATTACACAAAGGCAAAGCTGATCTTCGCGTCACATGCAATTTAACAACAAAAATAAGAGCTATAGCTCCTGAAAACCAGGAGTAAACTGGAATTCCATGCTAATTCAAGGAATTACATTCGAAATGAAGTTCCTAAAAACTCATGTCTAAAAAATAGAAATACAAACGAAAATTCTTTGCAAACAAAATTGAACTTCAACAAACACCATCGACACCCGATTTAGACAAAATTGCCCCTCAAAATTCCGCACGCTTCCACTCAAAATTAGTATATATTGGCGCGGAAATCGCCTTTAGAAAAACTTCAGCGTCGGTCGCCCGAAAATAGCCGTGAAATAGTACCAAAGGGTGGACCACTCTGGCGATGAGAGGGACGAATCCCTGAGGGAAAGGCGCGTCTCACCCATCCCCTCTTATATCCGGCGCTGTATCGGTCACAAAAAGTACATTTAAATTTTATTATCAAGAATATTAAGAAACGAAGTTATTCATAACCGAATTTTTCATGTCAGAGATATCATAGTTTCAACATCGGCAAATAATCCACCAAATGAAATAACTCAAACAAAGTTTGAAAAAAGTTGGACAAATGGCAAAAAAAAACAAATAATCGAATTTATGTTTAAATTATAAAAGTTCAAAAAAAATACTTAAGGCAATTGAATTATCAAATGAAAAATGAATTTCATTTTTTTTTCTCTGCAGGTGAGTGAAAGAATACTGGAATTTCACTAGAAAAAATAATCAAAGCCAAAACAGAGTTGGGAAAGTGTCATGAACTGGGAAACCAAAGAAATGACTTTTTAAAACACTTTCCATTTTCGAACTTCAGCGGAAAAATCTTACTGAGAATCGAATGCCAGACCTTAGGGAAGTGGGAAGGAGGCTGGAAGTTGTGTCAGGGGCTACAATATGTTCAGTTGTCAATCATCCTAGTTGTCAATCATCTTAGTTGCTATTCTTATTTCTCATACTTTAATTAAGTGTGAGTTTGGTACCTGCCTGTCAATCAACTAAAAGCTGTCTAGCTGTTATGTGTTGACCTCTAGTTCACTCTCTTATTTATGCGAACTAGAATACAGTCAATTGAGTATTTAACAGCCATCTTTTTACAAACCCTTGTTATGGCGCAGCCAGTGGATGGTGGGGAAAAAAACCCCCTTGGAATTGTGGCTTTCTGGCCTCCAACTCAGGCGGAACCGCAACTTTTATGGGAACACTGGAAACAACGATTTCATTGGGCAATGGTGGCGAAACATGGACTAGTCTCGTCAGACTACTACTTTCCATCGACATTAACTGAAGCACAGATCGCAGACCTGGGTGACATTGGTGGAAAACCACGGGCAGAAGGTGAACGTACACTGATATCGAATCTGTATTTATGCCTGGGACATGAGGGACAGAGAGCCTTGCATAATCAACATCCACACTTAGATATGGAAACAATACGATACCCACGTTTTTTGGATACCTGTGTAACTCTTTTTCAGAAAGAGCGGAACGAAACGTACGAGATGTACCAAATGTTGTCGAAGAAACAAAAGGAGGGTGAGAGTCTAGAATCGTTCTATGCAGAACTTAGCGGAATGGCGGCAAGATGCAATTTGGGCACCCAGGAGCGGAAAATGGTGAGAGACATATTTATTTTCAACATGAGGAACAGGGACGCACAGAACGAGCTGTGTCGGGAAACTAAAACCCCGGAAGAAGCATTGCGCATCGCAATGTCATATGAAAGAGGAGACAAATACGCAAGGAGCTACAAGGGCGCCGTATCCGGTTCCACGGGAATGGCGCATCCATCGCCAGGGGGTTCCCTACAGATCAAAACGGAACCAGTCAGTAATATTCGCGGATCCAGGGGACGAGGAATGCCAAGGGGACGGGGTCAATACCCAAATCGTGGAGGAGGTCGAACAGCCGATCGAATGCAGGAGCGCAGATGTTACAACTGCGATCAACCGAACTTCACCCCAGAACACCGACAACGATGCCCAGCAAGAGCCGTCACATGCAACTTCTGCAAAAAGATTGGGCACTTTGAGAGGACTTGCCGTGGAAAACGACAATCCAGGGGGGGACAACCAGTTGGACTGATCCAAGGGGATGAACTCTTCGACGAAGAAGATACCCCCTCGGATGACGTGGAGCCCCAAGCTGCGGCAAATTCAGTAGGTTTCGTTAAACGAGAACACCACAGCTGGTCATCAGAAAGTTCAGACGATTACATGGTTATGGCAATTCGACGGAAGAAAGAAACAGTGTTGAAAGTTGCCGGGCCTAAACTCAAAATATTCATTAATGGGCATCCGATGAACATTTGGATCGACAGTGGATCGCCGATTTCCATTCTAACACTAGAAGATTTGAGAAGAACAGTGGGAAGAGCGGGAATCAACTTGAAGCAGGATAACACTGACGATGACGAATTTCGAGACTACAGTAACAATCGGATCAAGATGTTGGGCAGAATGGAACTCGAGTTAGCATCAAACGGCTGGAAGACGACAGCAGAAGTCCGAGTCATTGGGGGGACCAGACCATCCATCGTGGGACGTGATTTGATGGGGAAACTTGGACTCCAGTTGATGCAAGCAGATCCAAGGGGGGAAGTCATGAACATCCAGGGGGCGGAGGACAATTCATGCAAGGAGGGGCACGATGAACCGGAGGATGAGCAGATGGATCAATGGCAATCATACTTCAGTAAGCTATTCCCAAAACTTTTTACTAGAGTTGGAAAAATTAGGAACTACAAAGTTCAAGCACTTTTTTCAAGACTGACACGTTGGCTGGACAGACTGATTCCTTTTGACTTTGTAATAGAACACAAACCGGGCGCCAAGATTGGATTGGCAGATTATTTGTCGAGGCATCCTAGCGAACCCCCTAAACCGATAAGTCAATATGATAATTTGTTCACCGTGGCAAAAATCGCTTCGATCAGAAAATCCCTTGGTTTTACAAATGAATTAAAACCCCTTGGTAAACGAAATTATCAGAATATTCGAGAAACTGGTTCTAAACAGTCTAGACGGTTTTCATCCAATCACAAGCGAGAACGAATAACATGCATACAACCAGCGACGGTTGAGGGCGGAAAGTCATGCGTGAAGACAACGACCAATAGGAAACGATCAATTTGCATAACGCGTAAATCAAATAAATCCAAGGGACATTCAGTGTGCTCTATATATTGTTCCCTGGGAAGACGGTTAAATTTGCCTACATCCAAACACTCAAACAAAATGGATAGCGACTCTAATTGTTCTTTCCCAGTATTTGAAATTGAAAATGTTGAAAACGATACAATTGATTCCCAAACTAACAATCCGAATATACTACAACCTCAGATCAACTCTCCGCTTAGATTAGATGAAAACTTATTGAGTAGCGATGAAATAACTGTCATTAACCCTGAAATTGTTGCGATTACTAAAAACACACGGGATTCCAAAATTAATACAGTACTTTCCATACCTTCGAAATTTCCAGGCGAGCTTTTTCCTACTGTTAATCCGAATCAGCAAATTATGTCCATCATTCCCCGTGATTGCAAGGTTATCAAGAAGTCTCAATCGTTACCAGAACTTTTTAATTTAGAATTTGTTGCCTCGAACATACCAGCGGATGTGAACTTAGTACGAGTAAAAGAAGCATTGGAGAAGAAGACAAACTTGAAAGAAGAACTCCTAAAGATGGGGAAGTACTGGGCTCAATACGCTAACGATCTGTCGTTACGGGACGATTGTGTGTGGTTGGATGGACGGTTGGTCATCCCTTTACCTTTGCAAGTCCCAGTTGAATCGCGGATACACTATTACCATCACGGTAAAAGAAATATGTTCGAAGCAGCGCGTGACGTCTGGTATCCTTATATGTACCGCAGTTTGGCAGCAAAGGCCACGTACTGTCAGCAATGCACGGAAGCGGGTAAGAATCTAAAACCGTTATTACCCAAGGGAGACATGGGCAAGGTCCCAGAACCAAGGGAACCCAATGAATGTTTACAGTTGGATTTCTGGGGGCCGATAAATTACTTGAACGAAAGTAAGAAATACGTTTTGGTTGCTACGGACCGATTCTCAAGGTGGCCGTCAGCAATGGTTACTACCACTAATACGTCAGATAAGGTCTTAAAATTCCTTAATAAGTACATATCGCATCATGGAGTACCTCGGAAGATCCACGTCGACCAGGGATCATGTTTTACTTCTAATAAATTTAAAAGCTTCTGTAACGAAGAAGGCATCGAGCTAATATACTCCCCAGTGAATGATCATCGAGGCACGGGGTCCGTTGAACGGACAATAGGAAGTTTGAAGAATTTTGTCTTAACATATGCGACAGAAAAAGAACATAAGTCTCTAGAATCTATGGTCGATAAAGCGCTAGGCGCTCTACGATTCTCAAAAAATGCAACTACTAAATTAACACCTTTTGAAGCTCACCACGGCAGGGAGGCCAATACCGTTTTACGAAACCTTACGAAAAAACCAAGTTTGAAAAACTTGAATTGGAAGAACGTCTTACAACAAAAATGTTTGTGTTTAGACGAAACTGATCCTGAGATGAGTAAAGTTGCATTCCCTCAGCATTCGAATTGGGAGGAGAGGTCGGATCTAACATACGCTCCAACTTTGCGAAGGGCCCCTATCACGCTGGATAGTGACCAACAAATGGACGCATGTCCAAGGGAGGGATCGGAAGTTGGACCACAAATCCAAGGGAGTGGAGACACTGGCCCTAACATCCAGGGGAGTGGAGAAGGACGCACCCTATACCAGCGTACTACCAGCAAGACCCTAAATCGGTATAAATTACTAAAATCCAATGTAATCTCTGAATCCGAACATACTTTGAAACTTAAAAACGGATCCGTTCTTAGGAAAAGTGCAGTGGCATCAAAACCGAAACCTGACCTTCCCAAGAAACGGAAACCGGCTACGCTCAAGGATATGCTAGCGAGCGCAAAGAAAGGAGCAGTCGTGAGCCCGAAATCAAAAAGAGCTAAGACTACGCGGACGGTACAAGTAGCCACCTTCGAGTCCGACAGTTCGGATACTGAAGACAATCGGCCATTGAACATTCCGGCAAGACTACCGGTAGAAATGCTAGCAAGACGCGAAGCAATTGCGGCGGGACAAGGTCCAAGCGGCAGTACGACAGTAATGGAAGGAGGAACGGGAGCTAAAGCCAAATCCAGAGTGACAAGAGCTAAGCGAGGAAAAGGGGGCCAAAGAAAACAAGCGAACGAAAGCCAGGAACGTCCAGCGTTAGTGGCGCGGGAGTGTCTTGTAAATAGCAGTCAAGAAGAAGACGTTGAATCAGGCAGTCAAAGTGAAAGCTCGGGAACCAGAAGGAGTACTAGAAGGAGAAAGCCAGTAGACAAAATGGGAGGAGTTATGATTGAAACTATCCAGGGGGCGGAACAAACAGGAAAAAATCCAGGGGGAGAAGGGAAATGAATCTTATTTCTACATTTATTCAAAAACTCGTTAACCCAGGGAGAGGGATGGCCATAAGCCTAAAACTCAAATTGTTAAAACTCAAGTGTTTGTTGCATTATAGTTGAGGCGGCAGGTTGAAGGTGTAGTTATTATATTTAAATTTAAAGTACTATGTATTTAAAATTTTACATCCATACGGAAATGTCAGGGGCTACAATATGTTCAGTTGTCAATCATCCTAGTTGTCAATCATCTTAGTTGCTATTCTTATTTCTCATACTTTAATTAAGTGTGAGTTTGGTACCTGCCTGTCAATCAACTAAAAGCTGTCTAGCTGTTATGTGTTGACCTCTAGTTCACTCTCTTATTTATGCGAACTAGAATACAGTCAATTGAGTATTTAACAGCCATCTTTTTACAAACCCTTGTTAGTTGTTAAGTTTCAATAATAACGCAAGTAAGAAAGACAAATAATATTTGCAAGAAAAGTTGTTAACAGGGAAAAAAAGTCTAATTCCTGATGAAGACACTTAATCGCACAAAGGAAACATGAAAAGTCAGTCAATAAATGCAAGAAAACAGAACAGAAAAACTACTTGTTTTATGAAAAAACTGCAACTTAAGAATTTCAAAGTTTAAAAACTATAATTTTACAGCTCTTTGAAAACCGCTTGACACCATAGCCAACAGACAGTTGAAAAAGAGTCAATGGGCGCAAGAGATCAGAAAACAAAGACTTCTTTTTCGAAAAAAAAATTTCAACGTTCAAAGAGATTGCCTTAACGTTCTTTGAATTTCCAGAGCAATTTGATAAAATTAACCCAAATTGAAAAAAAAATGAATCAAAAGGTAAATTTTTTATTCAGCTGGTAAGTCTGAAAATTAAATTCCACTTTCGAAACTAGGAGTCTATCACATTTTTCGGGACCTTTACACTTTCGTAATTGTAGAGCGCAACTTAGCTCGCTTTTAGCAGATGAAATTGATTGGACCTCAAAACATAGCCAATCGAAGATTGGAAAAGAGAAATGAACGCAAGTAGACATAAAAAAACACGAAAAAAAACACGGACTTTCTTGAAAAAATCTCAACTTTCGAATTTCACAGAAAAAAATAAATGCCCTTTAAGCTCTTTGAAATTCATGTTTTGCGCTTTCATGTACAATTTATGCTCGGCACTTTTTTGATAAATTGCACCAAACTCGAGAAAACTGAATCAACAGGTAAAGTTTTTATTCCGCTGGGAAATCTTAAAAATAAATTCGACTTTCGAAACTAGAAATCGTTCGCGTTTTTTGCGCCATTTCCGCGTTCATATTTGGAGAGTGCTATTTAAGTCATTTTCAGCAGATGAAATCCAATTGAACTCAAAAAGTGCATTAAGCCTAAGTGCATCAATATTTTAAGACTTTTTCTTTAAAAAAAAAAACAAAAAAATCAGCAAGACCTATATAAGAGTCTTCACTTCGCGAACTACTCTTAAGAGTGCATATATACGTCGAAGCATTTATGAATTCATTAATTTGTACAAATGCAATTTTGTATAATATATGAGCACTGAAAAAACCATCACGACCTATAAGAGTCTGGGGGTGTAGCGCCTTGTATGTGTCGCTTAGCATGCGCAATTTAAGTAATTACTCACATTGATGTGGCAAGCTTCAGTTAAGTTTTAGTTGAAAAAATGAGAAAACAAAGCATGCCTCAATTAGCTCATTTCTAATTGCGCTAACTGAGGTATGCTAAACGGCACGCATGGAAGTAGGCCAGTCCTCTAAGAGTCTGAGCTACATTCATCGACTCTTAATTATTAAGAACAACTGTGTTCACAATAGTTAGTTTAGATAGATAAAGTGCGGGGATGGGGAAGTGTTAAAGAACCATCCAACTGTAACAACTCCAACTCACCGCCCTGCACAAAGATCACCCGGGTCTCCGGACCGCAAACACCACGGCCCCCTTCCCATTTCCCCATAGAGACTCGGAGCTGATCTGGGTGCCATCTCTCAACTTGAGAGGAGCCCCTGTCAAATAGTCAACACTCGCTTTCTTTATCTCCTTCGACATGGTGTAGGAGCTGCGCTTGAAGTAAACTAATGAAGCGGCTGTAATTGCGGTTATTCCTGACAAAACAACAATAACTAAGCTGAGGAAAAAAGATAAAACTGCAGAAATATAAAACGATACTAGTGGAACATTTGAAGTATATTTCCTTTTTGAGCTCATTGCCGTAAATGCCTACAACGTTCAAGCAAATAAATGGACGTTTTGAGTAAACTAACAAAAATTGTATGCTTTGATTTCAGCACAACTACATTTTGTAGTAATTAAGAAAAGTTTTGCAGCCAATGAAGTGAAGTGAACTGAATGGAACTCGGACCTGCCAGAGTGTATTTCATCAACGCTTTGTATTTGATCGACGTCACTTTCATTTAAACACAAGTACACTTCAGTGTACTTTTCGATCACTCAACGTCAAAATATTCTCAAAATTGGAAGTCAAAATACTCCCCGCTCAAATCTCATCTCATCTGAAATAGCAAATAAATTACTAAAAATCAGCGGGATAAAAGCTAAATTTCTATGCCTTTCAGGGGATGGATCGGAATAAAAGTGTGCAAACTTTATGACTTTGAAACATCTTAGGGAACCCAGTAAGAAAAAGGTCCCATGAGAACAATCTCGCCCGTAAAAAGGCCAAGTGAACAATCTCCCCTCTAACATTAAATGACAATTTCAAGGAGTAAGGCCTGCATGGTATATGCTCAAACATGATGGCTGAAAACTATCACTTGTAACCAAGTGAACTCTCCTCCCTATATTGATTTAGGGGGGAGGTTGTTCACTTGGTCCAAAAAAAAGCTTCACAAGTTTTACTCTCGTAAATTTTGGGTACGGTCACCTTTGCAATGAATCCAAAAACCTCAAATCCTGGACCTCACAAAGAGGTCTACTTTCAAATGCTCCATCGTGGTTCAACTGTCTATATAGAAAACAAGCATAGAACTAACTTTTCACCCAAACTACATACATACAACATTAAAGAAATATAATTTCGATATCAGCGAAATACAAAATATTCAGCAGTGATATACAGTTGTAAGTAAAAGCACCATTTATACAAACTTAATGATACCAACTGGCAGTAAACTATGACAAAAAAGACAAGCAAACAAAATTTATCAGCTAAAAATTTCTACAAATCAAAGAAATTTATACCTTGTATCGTACAATCGTGACACGTGCAGCACTGTTGCGCTTGAAAAGAGAAATGGAACCTTTCAAAAAATAGAAGCAACAAGTACAAATTCATTACTGACAGACAGTCTTTATACAAATTTTGACAGCAACAAAGGTTAGCAAGCTCTTTCGTTATTGATCAATAATACAGGAAACATTTACTCTGATATTTGATGGTAATTGACATGAACACACATAGCTAATAAAACGTTTGCAAAGTGTCAATGATCTCAAGGAGAGCGACAAAATATGTACTAACCCTCAAAGCTCACTTTAATTATAAAATTGTCAATTATAAAAGGTTTTTTAAACGCAAAAGTTTCACGGTATATATTTTTTATTTACATAAAACTTAACCTTATATAGAACTTGGTTCTTCACGGAGTATTATAAAAAAAGCAGTAACAGATGAACAACTTTTATCAAAAAATGTCAAGGGCAGAAGATGTTGATTGCAAAGGCTAAGGGGCTGTCGAAAAAAAGATTGTACCGTTTTTCTCTATATTAAACATAGACAGTTGGAAAAGAGACTTAATTTTTTTGTTTCGAAATCTAAGAAAAAAAATAGATGGCGTTAAACCTCTTTGACTTTCATGAACAATTTATGATTGACACTTAATTGATAAAAAAATAACCCAATTTGAATAAACTGGATCAATAGGCAAAACTTTTATTTAGCTGGGTAATCTGAAAAGTAAATTCCATTTTCCGAACTAGAAGTCGATCACGTTTTTCGTGCCCTTTATACTTTTGCTGTTCGATAGCGGAGCTTGATTTCTATTTAATAAAGGCAATGAAGTGAACTTAAAAAGAAATTTCAAACAGCGAAAAAGTAAATTTTGGGCCTGAACAAATTTAACGGCTTTTCCTGAAAAAAAAATGAAAAAAATCATCGCGACCTATAAAAGAGACTGAACTACGTTCATCGACTCTTGAAAAATAAAAGCATAACTTTGCATATATTGAAGAGCGCTATTTCTTTTTAGCAAACAAATTTGACATGAATTTAACAAGAAACCATAACTTGAACCGCTACAAAAAACTGAGCGTAATCAAATTTGAGCGACACTTTTAATTGGACATTAGAACAGCATTCGAACATTGCCGCACAAAACATTTTGCAGAAAATCTCACTGCTACTGAAATAAATGAACAACCTCAATCAGTGAAGTTTTCTGCAAAAAGTTTTCTTTCAGTAGCACTTTATTTGATGGAAGCTTTTGATATATAATAATGAATAAAACATGATCTCTCATAACATTATTTGGATCTTGTTAAATATTCCCAACCATCATTGCAAAAGGGGGGAATTCTTAGTACAAAACACGTCTTTGCTGTTCTTTCAATTAGTTCTTCACATGGGTGGAAAATGATTTTTACTAGGAAAAATAGGAGAGAATAAAAAACAAAATCCCATTAATTTTAGATTTTAATTTTCAGTTCCAGAAACACCATCACGCTACATCTGAGTAAGCACTGTCTAAGCATTTGAATTACATCTATTGCAAAATTTCATATTCATTCTTTGTTTTTTGAAAAGCAATTTTTGTAGGATTTTTGTATGAAGCAATTTAAATAACATCCATTTACATGATGGGAGTCACAGTTTCGTCGATTAAGGGGTTTACTTTCCCATTCCGTTTTGCAGAGTCGCGACTTGCAATGTCATCGAAATTGTTCCCACGCCTTCCACGACAAACTCCCTCAACTGTCGTTTAGCGAAGTTATCCCGGTCCAGGTCATTTGTGTCCAGAGAAAACTTCGCCATTTGCGACTCTTTCAATTCCTCTTTGTCAGTTGAGAACGCGAAATTTAACTTTGCTGGCATAGATTTGAGCAGAACTCGTGTGACCATGGGGACCTTGTAGACTCCCTTTTTATCAACTGAGAACGACTTGAAGTCCTTTATCTGGGCGTCGTCTTCGAGACAGTAGAATACAAATGATCTGCCCTCACGCTCATCTTCTTTCGCTAGCTCGTTCGTCTCTACTTTTGTGATGTAACAGTTCACAAAGAACTGGTTGCTCAGAGGAACTGAGTCAAGGATAGCTAAAAAACAGTCAAGAAGGTCTAAACCCAATGCATTGTCATCACAGAGGAAGAGAGCAGGCTCGCATTCTTTGCGATACATTGCAAACATAGCATGGCACGCATGCTTACTAAAAAAAGAGACAAAACAACAAAGTCGCTAAATTATGACAAAAAAATGTCGGATAACACAGTTTTTTTATACTTTAGTCTCTATGAAAATCAATTTCGGAAAATCATGTTTTGGACAACAATTGCCAGCATTAAAACAACATCCAGACGCCTATTAAGCCTACAACAAAAAAATTACTGTAAAAAACAAAGTTTTGCAACTCGAAGTTCTTACGTCTCCCGAACTTCGAAAAATTGTAACACACGAAAAATTGTGCACATTCCCACGATTTATCGATACAAAAGGGACATGATTTTGTGGCCACTTACACGATTTTTCGTGTAAATTTGCGCGATTTGGTTCGTATGATTTACACAATAAATAAATGATTTACACAATTCCTGTAACTTTTATACGAAAACCGGAAAATTGTCGCGTAAAACACACAGGAGTAATCGTGTTAAACGTACGAAAAAATTATTTTACATAAATCGTGTAAAATAAAACTTTTTTTGCACGATTAACACGATTACAAGTAATTTTTACACGATAAATTTCTTTTTTTTTCGAGTAAAAAGTGCACTATTTATCGTGTAAAACATACGACACAAATCGAGCAAATATACACAGAAAATCATGTAAATAGCTACAAAATCTTTTGTCTTTTTTCAATTGAAGCAACAGGAGATGACTAAATCAAGGTAGCAAAAACCGAAACACAAATGCGAATAAAAAATAACAAGACTGCTCGTATCAGGGCAAAGCCCTGAAAGTTCCGACTGCCTTTTAACGTTTATGGAGCAGTAATAACATTAACAACATAAAAAAATTAAATGAAATAAAATAAATGAAAAACTTTTTTTTCTAAAATTTGAAAAACTTTCGATGAAAATCATCCCCCCACACTTCATATTAAGTACAAAACAATAGATTTCGCTCCTTGTAACAAATCAATGATGGCAAATAAGCTTCTTTCAACCAATTTGGAACGATTTATAAGACGGATTAACTCTCCGCTTACGCGTTAATAGCGCGAAATATATCGCGCGTTAATTGTCCCAAATTGGTGAAAATGGCCAAAATGATAAGCTTTAAACCCTCATAACTTTACGAAAAATGATAACAGGTGAAATATCTTTTCAAATTTGAGCCCATGACAACAAAAGCTTTCGTATGATATAAAAATATTCCGTCAAAAATGGCCAGTTAAAAAGTGAAATTTGTCAGAAGAAAAAAAACCCACCCCGAGCACAAATATTCCGTTACTTTCGTATCGAAAGTCGGAACAATAAGATGATAAAAAAGAAAAAGAAATGGTGCAAAACCGCAGCTAGTTAACAAATCAAAATGACTCTATTTTAGTTTTAAAAAAGCTTTAGATCAGAAGATAACTCCATACTGTAGAATCAATAGGCACCTAATCAGATTTTCCAGGAAAAAATTTGAAATACTATTTCAAAAGAGCACTGAAATATCAAACTTACAGTGTAACACAACCAGTGGTCTCAATTGAATCTTTGGGCATGTTAGCGCTTCCTAATGCATACTGCACGTCATGCAAAGATTCAGTGACTTAGCTCAACTTTTTTTCCCGGCTACAAGTTTTGTTCTGATATTAGACAATAAATCAAAAAAATTCGAAAAAAACTACCAAAATGAAAAAAGCCAGCTTTGAAAAAAATTAACTTGAAAACAAATGAAAAGCTGCACGCAAAACAATCAAACTTGAACAGATCAAGTCAATAATTACAACCACCATTGAAAAAATCAAATTTCGAATAGGAAGAATATTCAAGATCCTGCCCTGCTGAAAAGCAGAGGCGAAGCTGCGCTTCAAAATACAAACGGGAAAACGAAAAAAAAAAATAGCTGTAAGCAATGAAATAAAGGAAAGTTAAAATAAGCCTTGAAACTTTTGCTTTGGCGGATTCGAACCTACGACCAGGATATGTGTAGTCGCACCTCCTCGCATCTGCGCAACAAGCCTTTGAAGATTTGCTAACACTATCCAACAAAAGAGCAGCTACATATGTTAATAAACTGCGAATGTTGTACATAAAAAGCCGTCACAAATATAAACAGACACAAAATTTGCATGTAATAATTCGGATATAATAAACTAAAAGCATAACTTGGCATGTATTGGGAAGCATAAAGCCAAATTAATTATATATTATGCATTTCAATGAAAAAGCAAGATATATTGAATTGGAAAATTCGCATAAAAACGCATCAACTGTGTTGACTTATTTTGAATCGAATGTCAAAGCACACGCTATCAAAAAACCTTAAAGGTGCTACCAAAAATGGCACCAATATTTGCAACTTAGGCTGGAAAAAAAGAACAGTTGTTGTATTACACTACGCTCGCTAAATTAAGACTGTGTAATTATGTATCTTGTAGTATTCCAACACAAGGGAGCAGGAATTCTTTGAAGTACCCGATTGCAACACACTTGCTATCGCTAGAAGAATTAGTATCAAAAAATTGAACCAGAAAAATAAATTAGAAGAGAAATCTGCAAGGGTTGATCAAAATTAGGATACGAACTTTCAGGCAAACCTACAGAGATATATATTTTGTCTGGAAACCTATCTTTTTTTTCAATTTTTCTTTACTGAAACAGGTCATGTGTCTTTTGAATTGAAGTTCAATGTTTTATCTTCTTGCAATTCAATTATTAGCAGAAATTTCATGTTTAAGATACTATTATCCTTCTTCTAAGTCAGTTAGTTGAACATTAAAAAGCAGAGCGCTATAGGCTTAACTGATATATGCCAAGTCGATATTTCAGTCAAGGCAATTCGAAAATTCATTTGCAACCTCCATAAAAGATGTACGATTTGAACCAATCACTCACTTTTGATTGGGACAACATCTTCGCCCATTAGCTTTTCATTGAATGAAATGTAGTCTAAGAAGATGGTAGCTTCGCCCGTTTTGTCGCCCTTCAGCCTGAACTTGGTCAGCGATGAGTCATCTTTACCGCTCTCATTCTTTTCGGCGGAGGGAAGCGCGATTGTGTTCCTGAGATCTTGGACGAACACTTCGCCTGCAAAGTCATCAGACACCACGTCTTCTTCGTACACTTTGATCTAATCAAAACGGGCTATTCATAATCAAAACTTAATTGAAATTCAAGTTTTTTATCTATTAAAACGTTTCACATGTCAAAAAATTTGTTAATTCAAGCTGATTTATTATTTATACTCAATGAAGGTACAATTCTGAGCTTTGAAGTAATGCCAGGATTTTTTTAGTAAAACATAGCCAAACAGCAAGCTCAGATATCATTTGCTGGACTTTAAAAAACGCACGAAACTATCGAAAGTTTTTAACCCCCCCCCCCCCCATTCCAGCTCTGGATATGACAATGCGGACGAACTAAGGGCGGATTTGAGACTGAACAATCAAAGAGCTACTGAACAATCAAAGTTAGCAACCAAAATCGTTCTCCAAATTATCTAAAAATCACAATAGAAATCAATAATTCCTTATCAAATTTCGAGAAGGAAATGCGTTTTTACTCAGAATCGGAACTTTTCAGAATCGGAACTTCCAAAGGGTAAAAAAAGTGGGCTCTTTTTCCTTTTTTCCCCCACCTGCAAACTTTTATATTTGAAGTTACTGTTCACTTTGTCCGATTGTCGTAAAAATTGACATGCAGACTAATTAGGCCATAACAAGCATATTTGGTCATCATAATTAACCTTGTAAAACCACTCGTTAGACCATAAAGTTCATGTTTGAGTGAGGTGGGGGGAAAAGGAAAAGAGCCAAAAAGTGTATTTACAAGCTCCAAGAATGTTGATTAAAAATAAGCAGGATTTGATAAACAATTTGTTCACTCACTACTATAGCATCGCCTCGAAGCATAATTTAATCTAGAGTCTAAATATAATTTGAAAAAATGATTCAATACTTATGAGTCAACAATTCTGAAGCTGAAGAGCAACTTTACCTGGAACCTGAAATAACAAACTTACTGAAAACAAGAGTTTGAAATACAGTTTCGATCAACTTCATTCAGATAATTCAGCTTAGCCAGAATATATTTTCTCGGTAAAATTCTGTTTTTTTTTCCCGGAAAAATTCTATTTTAATATCCAAAATTCGGATTTTTGGTGCAATTGTTCTGGTGACCTTTTGGATTATGATTAACCTTTTGAAGTTGAAAAGCAATTTTAGGCCTCTTCAAACTTGAAATATTAAATTTGATTAGCTTTCCTCTAGCCAGGAACTTTAGAGCCGCAGCTCAAACTAGTTTATTTTGCCTTCAATTCAGCAAATCAACCCATTCCTGGAAAACACTCTCTAAGCAGCCACACAGATCAGTTTAACAGTGTTGCCTATGTTTTGCCAGCCAAATTGTGTAGTTTATGAAGCATTTTTTTCTTCACTTCAATGGGATGACGCGAAGAAAACTGTGAATAGACGAGAACGACGTTGGCAGACGGTGATTTAAATTTGGTTTAATAAAATTGAGACAATTTATCCATGAGTGAATCAACAAACACGCAAGCTGTTCAGCTGTTTAGAGGGATCCGCTGTTATGACCCTGCTTAAAACTGCAATTTTTGTTACATCTATCGTCTGATTATTGCTGTCTCACCTTCAAGCAAAAAGCACTGACATTTCAACAGAGAAATTGCGGATAGTTATCCACTTCACCAACACTCATCTATTTGGATCCACCACCCCCTCACCCATAACCACCAGTAAAACTTTATATTTTCAACCTTTGTGAACCTTTTCCAATATTCATGAAAATTGGCCAGCGGGTCATTTACCAAATTACAGTCAAATTTTGTCCTCATACACATTTTCATCAAGTCAATAGTCACACTGTTAAGCTCATTTTTATATCTAGTAGACAGGGGGACGAGTCCCTAATTGTGTACTACTGCTTCTCTCACCTTCAGGTATTCCAAGTCTGGCTCTGTGACCAGAATGTCCACCGTCTGTTTCCACTCAGTGTCGCCCTCTTTAGTCTTGGACTCCACCACTTCTGATTTGAAACGGCCATACACACAGGACAGACGGTAGAAGAAGTCAGGCGCTGAAAGGTCACAACAGTCAGTTCAAAACATGACTGATAAACAACTCCTATCACGTTTTTTTGTTTTATGACAACAGACAGTTCAAAAACATGACAGACATTTGGGAATATATTTTCTTTTTCATGTTCTTCAGCTTTTTTTAAGTTTTATGGCTCTACGCTTTAGACAAACTAGGAATCCAGGCAATGCGTCATCATCACTGAAGCCATATCACCGTAAACTGTAGTATTACAAAGTTTATCAAAGAGTATCAGACAAAACTTCTGCTTTACGTACTTTGCATTGCGAATTTGCGAGCACAATCCTATAGCGCAACCTTAATATAACATTACTCATCGCTTATGCTTGTGGCTTCATAAAATCAAACACCCGAGAACTAATTAAAAACCCAATATTTGAAACCCAATCAAAAAACAAACAAAGACTGCATTACAAAAACCCAGACCCGCATAAGAGAAGGTAGAATGGTATGGACTGCATGCATACCTGTGTACTTTGACAAAGACTTCTCCACAGAGAAAGTGGGAAAGGAGAAAACCCTGCGGAAGAAATGGGCAGAGGTGAGCCAATAGAACACGAGGAAATTGACGCCACGCCGAAAGCTCTTCTGCAACCGACGGAACTCTGAACAGAACATGCAAACTACCACACCCAAAAATGACATAATACAGCAGACAGAAGAAAGACAGATGGACAGAATTGTAAAACAACCAAAGACAACTTACACAGAAACGCTGAATTCAAAATACAGATTTACATCACGTGAGAAATCAAGGTAGTTATTGTGAAGCTCGCAATTATTTTTTTCAGAAAAAAACTGCGTCTGTTGCATCGTTAGTTGCATTCTTTTGAAGCTCTTTCAGTCGTGATTGGAAACTCGAAAAATAAACTCAATCAGAACTTATGTGGAGCATTGCAAACTTAATTTAGCACATGTAAGTATTGCGATACTTACATGTGCTAACTGAAAATTAAGATCGGTCCGCTTGCATAGTTCCTTTAAACAAGGTACGATTAATATATCTTGCACACCCTCTACCTCACTTGGATCAAGCTAATTTCTTCGTGCAAACATATTTCTGGGTATGGTGCAATATAATTTCAAATGTTTGAATTCAACCGAAAAATTCTTGTCCACGGTTAAACAGACAGTTGGAAAAGAGTAAATAAACGCAAGTAAACAGAAAAAAATGGATGAATAATTTTTTGAAAAAATCTCAACTTTCGAATTTAAAAAAAAATAGATGCCCCTAAAGCTCTTTGAATTTCTAAAACAATATAAAATTGGCATTTTTTTCATAAAACTAACCTACTTTGAGAAAACTGGTTAAATAAGTAAAGTTTTCATTTCGCTGGGAATCTGAAAAACAAACATATTTTTCGAAACTAGAAGTCGATCACCTTTTTCGTGACCTTTAACTTTTTGCTGTTCAATAATGGCGTTTGCCTCCCTTATAACAAAAGTCTAGCTTCGAAAAAGTACATTTGAGCCAGAACAAATTTTAACAATAACAAAGTCAACAGACAGTTGGAAAAGAGGCAAATTATCAAAAAACCCAACAAAAGGTTGATTCAATTTGAACTTTCAAAAATCGAAAAAATATAAATCACTCTTTGAATTAAAAAAAAATACATATTAGCCCCTTTTTCATTAAATTAACCCGGATCAATTTGAGAAAACTGGATGAAGAGAAATTTTTCCTAATCTGCAGGGAAATCTGAAATTAAAATTCACTTGCAAAAAAGAAAGTAATTTTATTCGCGCCTTTTTTAATTGGATAAAGTGATTTGCCTCCCTTTGAACAAATGAATTGGACTATAGAAAATAATCAAATAACAAACCACGAAAAACCAAATTTGAGCATGAACCACTTTTGAGAATTTTGTTAACGTTCGCCTAGTTGAGGAAAAACTGCAAGGATACGAATGAATTTAAGTGAGAACCTGTACAATGGAGATACTTTTAAATCAGAAACTTTACATTGCAGATATTCATTTAAATTAAAAAAAAACAGTTTTTTCATTTTAATAAATTCTTGTTCCACGCGCTGCGTAAATTGTAACGTGACATAATTCTCGTCTATAAACTAACTGAAATGGCAAAAATTGCATAAATTGGACTTTTTTGAGCCGAATTAAATTGCCACTTAAAATCTACAAAGAGGCGAAACTGTGCTTCGCATACACAAGCAAAAATATGACCGATAACGCTACAGGGAAATACTGAATGAGCAAAACTTTGAGTCCAAAAATTTCTTAAGTGACGCACGTCAATTATGAGTCTACATATTTGCTAAGTGACGCAAGCCAATTATGACGCATTAGCTGTACCAGTCAATTTGAGAAAAAAATTACCAACTAACATGCCTCAATTTATAGAGCGTACGCATTTTAACTAGTATACGAAAAAAAAATTCATTAAAAATATCCGACCCTGCCCAGGTTCGAACCCTCTTATTTTGTTGCGGGTCTCCTTCCCTACCTCTACGCTACAGATTCATGATACCTTAAAGCTAAAGTGCTATTTGTAATATAATAGTCACTGTTAATATCCTTAGCATTGGCTGTACTTAATAGCTATTTATTGATCAAAATGAACACATTTTGTCGCAACAATATTTGGGTCGCAACAATATTTGCGACTAAGGTTGGAAAAAAGAGAGTTCATGCTTTAACACAAGCTTTGCTTGTGTAAATAGAACAAAGAAAATCGCGTAAAAGGCCCCTAATTTGCTAATTACAATAACGCTTTGTTTTTAATTTCAGGTAAGCAGAGAAAATGTAAGAAACAATTTCAAATAAGTTCGAAAAAACTCACATTCGTCTCCAAACATGTTCAATTTGATACAACATGTCAAAACAACCATCGCCCTTACATAAGCATTTAAAATCAATTACGGATCGGGATTCAAGCCTACAATACGTTGGCAGATAACACATGAGCCGATAGAATTATTGCGATAAAAAATTCATATATCATAAACCGATCGAATTTAATCGAAAAACTAATATTTAAGAAAATCAGAGCGGGTAGACTTACATGAAAAGAACGACTATCAATTACAATTAAGTTGTTAAAATCAGTCGAAAAATGATGATAAATTTAGATAGCAAAAAAACCTACAATCCAACTTTTCCTACACATATTGAAGAAAAACGAGTTCTGATCGGTCCTCGAAGTCTTATGTTCAAAAGACGTGTGCTTCTACCCTAGGCCAAAATAGTAGGGGTCTAAAATAGATTGAGGTTCCATAATTAAGCAAGGTCAATTTCCTTCGGTTTTGTAAGGAAAGCTCTCGCACGTTAAATTAAAGAAAGTTTAAAAAAAGGCAACAATGCATTTCACAAAATGTCGAAGCTTTCGATAGCATTTTAAATTAGCAGACAGAAAATGAGATGGAAGCAACCAAGTCGAAAAAAAATATTGAATTTTCAAAAAAAAAAAATCGCAAGATACGCCAAGGAAAACAATCATCGCCGCTATTTTAGCATCCAAAATCATTAACCGAGCGGCAACTAAGCGGACACGGTTGAGCTGAAAACAAACTGTCACAGGAAAGTTAGTGCAATAAAATATTGAAATTCGACTTTTTACGCTCTCTATGAAACACACAAAAAGCAGAGTAATGTACTCTCGCATTTCAACCAACGCACAATCAGGTAACCAAGTCAATCTAGCAGTAACCGCACCCATTTAAGCGAAAAAAATCAACTTAAATCAAACATAATTATACAAAATCAAATTTTTTTGTCGACTATCTAGAAAATTTTAAATTGTTTCAGAACCAGCGTTCTATTTCAGATCAAACGTTTCTTGTGATATTCGATAAAATGAACAAAGTTGATACTTTGCAGTAAAATTTTCTTAAACATAGTTAAGAATATATTTTATATCAGAACATTGAAAACTTTTCGTATAATAAACTAGAGGCCCAGCTATAGCTGGAGGTGCCTGTTTGATAATTTTGACATTATTGTACTGATCCGGGATGACGTAGGTACTTTCAAAAAATTTTTAAAAATTGAGCTTCATCCAAAACCTTAGTTGTTGCTTTATTGAAAAATGAGTGAAAAATTTTACTGATTTTGGAATTTTCCCAGATACAAAAACTTTTTTGGCACAAACTTCAAGGCGTAGACTCTAATGCACGGAAGCTTCCGACAACCTGTTGCCTCGATTTAACAATTAATAGCAGATTGAGTTGTTTTCGAGAAATCAAAGTGTCAAAGAACGGACAAGAAATCAAAACATTGACTTTTCTGAAGGAGATAACTTTTTTGATAGAAAATTTAGACGTGAGCGCTTACACAAGAGAACTTTGCTCAAACCTTTATCTTTTAATTGAACCTAAAACCTCAGATTTTGGATGGTAGTTTTCGGGACAAATCGAAACATGGTCAAAAAACCATAAATTTGACTGTTTCCGAGGGTCATAATTTTCGTTTAAATAAATTGGACGTAATTGTTCATGCAGGGGAAATTCTCACAACCCGTTCTACCAATTGGAACCACAACTTCAGATTTGGGTGAGTAGTTTCAGAGAAAAAAAATCAAAAAACTGTCAAAAAATCTCAAATTTGACTTTTCTGAGGGCCATAACTTATAGTGTAAAAAAAATTGGGCGTAGCCGCTTGCGCAGGGGAGCTTCCCACAACATGTTCTATCCATTGAATTCAAAATCAGAGATTTGGAAAGTTAGTTTTCTAGAAAATGTCAAAAATCCAGAAAAATAGGTCAAAAATCCACGCACACACTTCGAAGGCTGTAGAAAGCGTTGTAAGAAATAGCCTAGGGAATTACGCTTGCACACAGGCAGGGTGGCCACTTGGTTGGGAATAAAAAAGATACCTCATTCAGTCAGGGTGTCTACAGTACAGACCTTGGCAGCCGACGACCTTTTTTAGGTCCGACGACCTTTTTTTTTTTTAGGTCCGACGACCTTTTTTTTTTAGGTCCGACGACCTTTTTTTTTAGGACACAAAAAAACTGGGGGAAAAGTTGAAAATTGATCGAAAATATTTCGCAACAAATCCAAAAATTGTTGAGAGTCCTGGTTGCCCTGCACTTTCCCATTCACGTCTGAAAATAGATACTTACGTAAAAAAAGATACCAAATAGTGACTTTTAGATACCAGTATCTAAAAAGATACCAAGTGGCCACCCTGCACACAGGGTAGTGGGCGGACTTCCCAATGGTACCATCGATAGAGTAGTTTTTGAGAACTACATTTTTTGCATAAAAGTGAAAAAATTTTACAAAGCGTCTCAAAAAGTACTAATAAAAAAAATAATGATAATAAAATTTTAATAAAATTCCCATATATTTTCACGATACCTGTTTTTATCAAACAGGAATAATTCACTCACTTCCAAATGCCTCGTGGTTGTCACTGAGCTTCTCGATTTGTGCCACCTGAACACGTAGCAGTCCTATAGGTAATGGGAACTGGTACCTCGAGAGTTCCACGTCTCGGTTCATTTTGAACGCCAGTCTGTTTGGATAAACGAGCAATGAGTTCATCGTGTCTCTTGTTATGCTGTTCAGTTTCCCCTTCAGACCAGGCATGTCTAAGACGTTTCCGGCGTCGAGAAAATTGAAATGGAGTTTTGGGTCTTCAGTGAAGTACATGGTTACAGCTTCATACAGAGGCAGGAAATCCGAAGTCAGATGATTCAATGTAACTCTGATTGTGCATCTAAACGACACCTCCAACCCGAATGGAATTCCAACTTTTGCGTCAGCGAGCAAAACTTCGATATTCTTGAAATCTGCTTCTGAAAAACATAAATTAACAATGTTATTATTGAAGGCTTGGAACGGTTATTATTGAACGGTTTCTACATTTTTGTATGCGGGATTGCGTTTGTATTGTTGGTAATTGCTTACATTATTGTTTCTATTCAATTTTTTAAGTAAAACGCTTAATTTTGAATGAATATAGGCTATTATCAAAGTTAATTGATTTTCTCCCCCCTAATTTGATTTGGAAGGGAAATTGTAGGGTTGATATGAACGTTTATTAAAAAATTTTCATCGCGCTAATTTGATAGATTTTTCTGTATTTGAAATTTTTGCCTTAATCTGAGAGATTTCTTGTATGGATTTTAAAACCCACTTAACAGATCAGAAGCCATTTGATGAACTGAATAGATAAATCTACCGACCAAATTCGAAGACAATAGACTCATCGGCGGGATTCAAGTGCCACGGTCTTTTCAATACTTTCGCCTGGAGAAGAACCATAGGATCCCATAATTTTACTTTTCTCAGTTCGACGAAATTGTCGGTTGCTGCCATAACCTTCTCTTTTATTTCTTCTTGGTTAAGATAAACTTCTAAATGTTTCCATAGTCTTGCAACAATTAAGTTGATAAGTTCCTCTCCATGGACCTCCTTCTCTTCAATTACCGGTTCTTTTTCGGCCATTTTTTTCTTAAATATTCAAAGTGAAACGAATAAAAAACTTCCGGTACTAGTTTACTTCCGGTACTTGTTTAGTCCCTCAAAACTGCTGTGGTCCTTAACAAAAATTTAAGTATATAGTATTTGGATTAATTCACACATTAAGCATCTTAATTTCTCTATCTTGATGACACAACTGGCTTAGTTATAGCTTAGCGGATACGAATTTTGTAATCCAGGCCCAGTGAGATTCGAATCCCGCGCTTGCTTTTGTTTTTAGTAATTAGGCGGGACCAATCAACTTAACTAGTTTTCTCACGGGACCAAACAAGTAAATTTGTACCAAACTTCCATTAATCGATGAACTCGAACCTATTATATCCCCCTTAAAAGTTCCGCATTTAAAATTCTTTCAGCATACTGACTAGGGGCCCAGCTGAAAGCTGGAGAGACCTGTTTGATTATTTTAATATTGATTATTTTAAAATTGTTTTAAAATTTCAGGTTTCTCAAGTCGATAGCGCCCTTCCTACGCAAAAAAAGTGAAAGAGAAGCTTATGCATTCATTATGCAAATCTGGATGGGTAGTTTTTGAAGAAATCGAAAAAGTTTGAAAAAATGGCCTAAAAACCGAAAAATTGACTATTCCTAAGTGTATAGCTCTTCCCCTAGACAAATTAGGGACGAGCCGTTTGTGTAGGGGGGGGGGGTTCCTACAACCTGGTCTATCGATTAAACCCTTAATCCCAAATCTGGACGGGTAGTTTTTGAGGAAATCGGAAAGATTTGAAAAAAGGCCAAAAAAGTCAAAAAAGTGACTTTTCCTAAGTCTATAGCTCTTCCCCTAGGCAAGTTAAGGACCAGCCGCTTGTGCGGGGGAGTTTCCTACAACCTGGTCTATCGATTAAACCCTTAATTCCAAATCTGGATGGGTAGTTTCTGAGGAAATCGATAATTTCCGAAAAAATAGGCAAAAAAATCAAAAAAGTTGACTTTTCCTAAGTCTATAGCTCTTCCCCTTAGCAAATTAGGGACCAGCCGCTTGAGCAGGGGAGTTTCCTACAACCTGGTCTATCGATTAAACTCTTAATCCCAAATCTGGATGGGTAGTTTTTGAAGAAATCGAAAAAGTTTGAAAAAATGGCCTAAAAACCGAAAAATTGACTATTCCTAAATGAATAGCTCTTCCCCTAGACAAATTAGGGACGAGCCGTTTGTGTAGGGGGGGTTCCTACAACCTGGTCTATCGATTAAACCCTTAATTCCAAATCTGGATGGGTAGTTTCTGAGGAAATCGATAATTTCCGAAAAAATAGGCAAAAAAATCAAAAAAGTTGACTTTTCCTAAGTCTATAGCTCTTCCCCTTAGCAAATTAGGGACCAACCGCTTGGGCAGGGGAGTTTCCTACAACCTGGTCTATCGATTAAACTCTTAATCCCAAATCTGGATGGGTAGTTTTTGAGGAAATCGGAAAGATTTGAAAAAAGGCCAAAAAAGTCAAAAAAGTGACTTTTCCTAAGTCTATAGCTCTTCCCCTAGGCAAGTTAAGGACCAGCCACTTGTGCGGGGGAGTTTCCTACAACCTGGTCTATCGATTAAACCCTTAATTCCAAATCTGGATGGGTAGTTTCTGAGGAAATCGATAATTTCCGAAAAAATAGGCAAAAAAATCAAAAAAGTTGACTTTTCCTAAGTCTATAGCTCTTCCCCTTAGCAAATTAGGGACCAGCCGCTTGGGCAGGGGAGTTTCCTACAACCTGGTCTATCGATTAAACCCTTAATCCCAAATCTGGACGGGTAGTTTTTGAGGAAATCGGAAAGATTTGAAAAAAGGCCAAAAAAGTGACTTTTCCTAAGTCTATAGCTCTTCCCTTAGGCAAGTTAAAGACCAGCCGCTTGTGCGGGGGAGTTTCCTACAACCTGGTCTATCGATTAAACCCTTAATTCCAAATCTGGATGGGTAGTTTTTGAGGAAATCGGAAAGATTTGAAAAAAGGCCAAAAAAGTCAAAAAAGTGACTTTTCCTAAGTCTATAGCTCTTCCCCTAGGCAAGCTAAGGACCAGCCGCTTGTGCGGGGGAGTTTCCTACAACCTGGTCTATCGATTAAACCCTTAATTCCAAATCTGGATGGGTAGTTTTTGAGGAAATCGATAATTTCCGAAAAAATAGGCAAAAAAATCAAAAAAGTGACTTTTCCTAAGTCTATAGCTCTTCCCCTAAGCAAATTAGGGACCAGCCGCTTGGGCAGGGGAGTTTCCTACAACCTGGTCTATCGATTAAACCCTTAATCCCAAACCTGGATGGGTAGTTTTTGAAGAAATCGAAAAAGTTTGAAAAAATGGCCTAAAAACCGAAAAATTGACTATTCCTAAGTGTATAGCTCTTCCCCTAGACAAATTAGGGACAAGCCGTTTGTGTAGGGGGGGTTCCTACAACCTGGTCTATCGATTAAACCCTTAATCCCAAATCTGGATGGGTAGTTTTTGAAGAAATCGATAATTTCCGAAAAATAGGCAAAAAAAATCAAAAAAGTGACTTTTCCTAAGTCTATAGCTCTTCCCCTAAGCAAATTAGGGACCAGCCGCTTGTGCATGGGAGTTTCCTACAACCTGGTCTATCGATTAAACCCTTAATCCCAAATCTGGACGGGTAGTTTTTGAGGAAATCGAAAATTTCCGAAAAAATGGGCAAAAAGTGAAAAAAGTACCGAGTTGTGAAGCTTTTCTAAGACCGTAGGGGGTGGGGTAGGGTAAAAATTGCCCTACATTTTATGCAGGCAGGTAGGTGAAACGCTACTGAATCCATTGGTACCACTTTTATGAGAATCTGACGGGTAGTTTTTTGGGAAAGCGAATTTTTCGAAAAAGCGTCTCAAAAAAAATAAAATAAAATAAAAAAATTAAAAAAAAACCAGATCTCATCTGGAAAAAAAAAAGGTTTTCATAATACCTATTTAATAAATCAAACAGGAATTTCGTTTTGCGTTTTAATCTATCGTCAGAACTTGTTCAGTCATTTTATTTAAGTTCGAGTTGTTCTTCAGATGCGTTATTCTAACGTCAAAAAACGTTAGAACAACACATTACCTCCTGTTTGCATAACGCATTAGAATAACTTATTACCTCCTGTGTCCCATCTCTTTAACTCCTATTCTTGCACGAGTGTTCGGGTGACTTGTGTACGAAAACAAACCTCAACTACTTATGCCCTGGTCAAACTGCTGAATGATATTTATTCAATACGCCGATCAACTGACTACATTCCCGTCACAACATTAGACACTCTCAAATCATTATTATTATTACTGTAACTATTACAACTATTATAATAATTGCATTATTGGCCAGTTTGTGGCTCAACGAATACGAACCTGCATTAAAACAATTCCCCCTTAACAGTTTGAATCCGATTTTTCTAAGATAATGGGTTGCTTTTTTCTGATCAAACGGAATTTCCCTATCAGTGCGAGTCAATCTAAAAAACTCAATGTTTACTGTGGTATAGTTGTTCCAATACTTTTTTACGCCTCACAAGTATGGTACCCAACAAAGACAGCTCTGATACGAATAGAACTTGTACAGAAACGAGCTACACGCTGGATTGTCGACACTGAGCTGTCATACGTTGATCGACTTGTCAGACTCAAATTACTACCACTTAGCTTGTATATCGAAATGCACGACATATTATTGTTCCAAGAAATTTAAAATATTAATTCAAACGTTTTCGCACATTTTGTGCATCATCAGGATTAAAATTTTTTAACAATATTTACAAAACGATTAAAGATGTGAAATGTAACAGTCGCCTACTTCGGTCACATATGAGGCTTAAGAAGAATAGGCCCTATAACGATTGGCTCAAGAGTAGGGACACTATCTCTTGTGTTTTTCTACCTCAAAACGGTCGGAGCCAATTCGGTTCGCTTGCGACATGAGACTAAAAACCCGTTACAGCTTAAAGGCCACTACCAAAATACCCCCCCCCCCACTCTAGAAAATAAGAACGTCCCCATACTTAGGTCTCAAAATACCCAAAACACACGAACGCCGTTAAAAACAGGGTCGGAACAATCCGCACAGTTACTTTTTATTAGACAGTGGAACTTTGATCCATTTCAGATGGATCAACCTAAAACTCTCCTTATCTCAACATAACAATCATAAAACACACTCGAGAAAACTAAATTGGGTACTCACATACCAGCACACTCAAGAATTGGAGTAACTAAATCAGTAAGCAACTCGAGAATTAAGTATGATAACTTTAGAAGTTTGATACTAATTAATTTCAACAAGGGAAATAAGTTTTGACTCAAGAATTGAAGTTTTTGTCTGAACCATTGGGACACCCCAGCTGTCCACCTTTCCACTGAGGGTTCACTCTAGTTCAACTCGAATAAATGTATTCTCCTTCTGTAATCACTCCTTCTCCTATTTCAGGATAGGACGGCTCTACTCGTGTTTATTTCGTATCTGGAAATTGCGAATAGCAATTTCCCGCTGCTTTTTCAATACTTTCCCGCGATTGTAAATCGGATGTTCTGATCTTGTATTTCTGAGATTTTCAGTTTTTGCGAGAAAGTTGGGCATGACAGGATCAATTCAAAATTTAAGTATACAGTATTTGGATTAATTCACACAGTAAGCATCTTAATTTCTCTATCTTGATGACACAACTGGCTTAGTTATAGCTTAGCGGATACGAATTTTGTAATCCAGGCCCAGTGAGATTCGAATCCCGCGCTTGCTTTTGTTTTTAGTAATTAGGCGGAACCAATCAACTTAACTAGTTTTCTCACGGGACCAAACAAGTAAATTTGTACCAAGTTTCCTTTAATCGATGAACTCGAACCTATTATATCCCCCTTAACAGTTCCGCATTTAAAATTCTTTCAGCATACTGACTAGGGGCCCAGCTGAAAGCTGGAGAGACCTGTTTGATTATTTTAATATTGATTATTTTAAAATTGTTTTAAAATTTCAGGTTTCTCAAGTCGATAGCACTCTTCCTACGCAAAAAAAGTGAAAGAGAAGCTTATGCATTCATTATGCAAATCTGGATGGGTAGTTTTTGAAGAAATCGAAAAAGTTTGAAAAAATGGCCTAAAAACCGAAAAATTGACTATTCCTAAGTGTATAGCTCTTCCCGTAGACAAATTAGGGACGAGCCGTTTGTGTAGGGGGGGGGGTTCCTACAACCTGTTCTATCGATTAAACCCTTAATCCCAAATCTGGACGGGTAGTTTTTGAGGAAATCGGAAAGATTTGAAAAAAGGCCAAAAAAGTCAAAAAAGTGACTTTTCCTAAGTCTATAGCTCTTCCCCTAGGCAAGTTAAGGACCAGCCGCTTGTGCGGGGGAGTTTCCTACAACCTGGTCTATCGATTAAACCCTTAATTCCAAATCTGGATGGGTAGTTTCTGAGGAAATCGATAATTTCCGAAAAAATAGGCAAAAAAATCAAAAAAGTGACTTTTCCTAAGTCTATAGCTCTTCCCCTAAGCAAATTAGTGACCAGCCGCTTGGGCAGGGGAGTTTCCTACAACCTGGTCTATCGATTAAACTCTTAATCCCAAATCTGGATGGGTAGTTTTTGAAGAAATCGGAAAAGTTTGAAAAAATGGCCTAAAAACCGAAAAATTGACTATTCCTAAGTGTATAGCTCTTCCCCTAGACAAATTAGGGACGAGCCGTTTCTGTTGGGGGGTTCCTACAACCTGGTCTATCGATTAAACCCTTAATCCCAAATCTGGACGGGTAGTTTTTGAGGAAATCGGAAAGATTTGAAAAAAGGCCAAAAAAGTCAAAAAATGACTTTTCCTATGTCTATAGCTCTTCCCCTAGGCAAGTTAAGGACCAGCCGCTTGTGCGGGGGAGTTTCCTACAACCTGGTCTATCGATTAAACCCTTAATTCCAAATCTGGATGGGTAGTTTTTGAGGAAATCGATAATTTCCGAAAAAATAGGCAAAAAAATCAAAAAAGTGACTTTTCCTAAGTCTATAGCTCTTCCCCTAAGCAAATTAGGGACCAGCCGCTTGGGCAGGGGAGTTTTCTACAACCTGGTCTATCGATTATACCCTTAATCCCAAATCTGGATGGGTAGTTTTTGAAGAAATCGAAAAAGTTTGAAAAAATGGCCTAAAAACCGAAAAATTGAATATTCCTAAGTGTATAGCTCTTCCCCTAGACAAATTAGGGACAAGCTGTTTGTGTAGGGGGGGGGGGGGTTCCTACAACCTGGTCTATCGATTAAACCCTTAATCCCAAATCTGGACGGGTAGTTTTTGAGGAAATCGGAAAGATTTGAAAAAAGGCCAAAAAAGTCAAAAAAAGTGACTTTTCCTAAGTCTATAGCTCTTCCCCTAGGCAAGTTAAGGACCAGCCGCTTGTGCGGAGGAGTTTCCTACAACCTGGTCTATCGATTAAACCCTTAATTCCAAATCTGGATGGGTAGTTTCTGAGGAAATCGATAATTTCCGAAAAAATAGGCAAAAAAATCAAAAAAGTGACTTTTCCTAAGTCTATAGCTCTTCCCCTAAGCAAATTAGGGACCAGCCGCTTGGGCAGGGGAGTTTCCTACAACCTGGTCTATCGATTAAACTCTTAATCCCAAATCTGGATGGGTAGTTTTTGAAGAAATCGGAAAAGTTTGAAAAAATGGCCTAAAAACCGAAAAATTGACTATTCCTAAGTGTATAGCTCTTCCCCTAGACAAATTAGGGACGAGCCGTTTGTGTAGGGGGGTTCCTACAACCTGGTCTATCGATTAAACCCTTAATCCCAAATCTGGACGGGTAGTTTTTGAGGAAATCGGAAAGATTTGAAAAAAGGCCAAAAAAGTCAAAAAATGACTTTTCCTAAGTCTATAGCTCTTCCCCTAGGCAAGTTAAGGACCAGCCGCTTGTGCGGGGGAGTTTCCTACAACCTGGTCTATCGATTAAACCCTTAATTCCAAATCTGGATGGGTAGTTTTTGAGGAAATTGATAATTTCCGAAAAAATAGGCAAAAAAATCAAAAAAGTGACTTTTCCTAAGTCTATAGCTCTTCCCCTAAGCAAATTAGGGACCAGCCGCTTGGGCAGGGGAGTTTCCTACAACCTGGTATATCGATTAAACCCTTAATTCCAAATCTGGATGGGTAGTTTTTGAGGAAATCGATAATTTCCGAAAAAATAGGCAAAAAAATCAAAAAAGTGACTTTTCCTAAGTCTATAGCTCTTCCCCTAAGCAAATTGGGGACCAGCCGCTTGGGCAGGGGAGTTTCCTACAACCTGGTCTATCGATTAAACCCTTAATCCCAAATCTGGATGGGTAGTTTTTGAAGAAATCGAAAAAGTTTGAAAAAATGGCCTAAAAACCGAAAAATTGAATATTCCTAAGTGTATAGCTCTTCCCCTAGACAAATTAGGGACAAGCTGTTTGTGTAGGGGGGGGGGGGGGTTCCTACAACCTGGTCTATCGATTAAACCCTTAATCCCAAATCTGGACGGGTAGTTTTTGAGGAAATCGGAAAGATTTGAAAAAAGGCCAAAAAAGTCAAAAAAAGTGACTTTTCCTAAGTCTATAGCTCTTCCCCTAGGCAAGTTAAGGACCAGCCGCTTGTGCGGAGGAGTTTCCTACAACCTGGTCTATCGATTAAACCCTTAATTCCAAATCTGGATGGGTAGTTTCTGAGGAAATCGATAATTTCCGAAAAAATAGGCAAAAAAATCAAAAAAGTGACTTTTCCTAAGTCTATAGCTCTTCCCCTAAGCAAATTAGGGACCAGCCGCTTGGGCAGGGGAGTTTCCTACAACCTGGTCTATCGATTAAACTCTTAATCCCAAATCTGGATGGGTAGTTTTTGAAGAAATCGGAAAAGTTTGAAAAAATGGCCTAAAAACCGAAAAATTGACTATTCCTAAGTGTATAGCTCTTCCCCTAGACAAATTAGGGACGAGCCGTTTGTGTAGGGGGGT